CCTACCATTACCTGTGTCTATGTAACTTTTGACCCCTGGAATATTTCATCTCCATCTGTAGCTACCCGAGTACTTTCGACGGGGTTTCGATAGTTTGTGGAGTAAACCATAACTAAAAATCTGGCGCTCGAGAACCGCCCGTAACCAGCGTCATTCATAAGGAACAGTTTACTCAGTGGCGAGAAAACCCCTTACAATGAACTCGCCCAAAAACTAAATTTTCGCGATTGATCACTTGTCATGGCAACAAACCGATTTGGAGCTAACTATTCCGACTTTAAGAAAATTATTGTTTTTAACATTTTTGTAACCCCCGTAACTAACAATTTTGCATTTATTGGAAAAGCTTAAAAGGGACGAGAAAACAACAAGTGCATACCAATTTTTGTTAATAATGTTCGACGGTATAGTTATTTTTTACGAATATTAAAATTATACGAAAGCAAATGGAGTTTTCTGGATGCATAATTTAAAATCGTTCAAAATAGGTATGTTGACGCAAAATGTCATTAGAAACAATACGTTTCTGCAATAACTCTTTTCATATTTCAGAAAAAGAGGCAATTTTTGAACGATTTTAAAAAATGCGATTTTGACAGCAGCCAACTTTATTATGGGCTATGTTAAGTTTTTAAATGAGGTGTTTGTCCTATGACGTTTCTTTTCAATCTTTATATTAAAAAAAATCCCATATGGATCCAACTTTATGGCATACACATATACCAAAATGTAGCAAATTATTGAACAATTTACTGTCAACAATAAACTGGGACGATTATGAATTTGTTTCCTGTCAAAATCATCACTTTTGTTTTTGTGTCCAGGGTCAACTAAATTTTGTACTACCATCTATCTCTCTGTATCGTGTGGAGGGTGGGTTACCCCCACGGCACTTAGGCCTCATTAGGCCCATTGTACTACCATTAAATTTGTACTAAGAATATCGGTTATCAGTGTTTGAGAATAGTAAGTAGTTTGTGCAACAAGAGTGGATATGATGGCCATATCGCACGAAGACGAAATTTTAGCACGATGCTGTAGGCGTAATAATTAAATTGACTTCATATAGTTTTAATAAAATTATAGTATAATTAAAAGCAGAAATGCTATTATTTATCGATTCTACACAAAAATAAATAATTTTAATGTATATTTAAGCTCAATAACTAAACAATATACTGACAATTAGTTTGACAGAAGTGTAACTTATTTAATATTTTAAAAATAATAAATGTCTGGTGACCAAAATGTGAACTGTGATTGGTGGATTTCGTTTTTTTTTTGCAGCGTTGTCACTGCATAGAATGGATATAAAATATATTCGTTCAGTTAAACGCAATATAGCATACTTTTTCGTTTTGTAGTCTGTGCGTAGATAAGCTAATTACCATGTGGGTGTAGAAAAAAAATATTTTTTATTCAAATGTGTCATAACACGTCATTTTTCGCACAGATAACATAATCGAAAAGGAGACCTTTTAAATATACTACCTATTTTTTTTTATTGACTTTTTCATAAGTGTTTTAAATTTTTCTAGGACATTTTATTTTCCTATTTCCCTGCTATAGGAGTTATCCTCCTTTTCAGGGTGGTATACTACCTACAAATGAACTACTATAAAGTACCTACTTTTACGTCCTAGGCAGCAAATGAGGAGCTTTGGAGCAAAACCGAATAAATGCATTATAAACGATTTTTGAGAAAACACGATTTTCCAATTGCACAAAAAGTACTGGTTTTTTTCGTTTGTTTTGTTAAAACGATACTATTGGATACGTCATTAATAATACATGCTTTGCAATTATAATTTTGAAAATTGATTTTTGTTAAAAATATGACAAACAAATTGATTGATTCAGTTTTACTCAAATTAAAATTCAAAACTATGCGCACTAATATAAGAGGAAAAACAAATCAAAATAAAGAAATACAAACTGCTTTTAAAATACAGCAAATGCCGGTGTGTTGTTTACACCACTTTACTAGTGGATTTATCCGGTTTTGCACAAAAACATCAATTTCGACCCTGAATTTTACAAAGATTTATTCGGTTTTGCTCGGACAGGTAGTCTATAAAGGTGTAACAAAGTAAGTTGAAATCTGCCGCTAACTTAATTTTCATAAAAAGTGGATTTATTCGGTCTTGCTCCAAAGCTCCTCAAATGTAAAGCAGCTTTACTATCTAAACATTCCGTTATATTTTCAGTTTACCTTTTAATACTACTGGCGATAACTTTTTGTTATTGTAACATAGTAGTCTATAATCCACATGTACATCAAATTTGAATAAAAACATTTTTAATTAAATAAGAGAAAACTAAATTATACATTTTTTCAATTAGGTCTTTTCCTTTGCATCGAAAGTGTAGCACTGAGTTACGCTACTTCTGAAAATACCGTTCCATCCATACAATTTGTATAAATGGAACGATATTTTTAGAAGTGGTGTAGCACTGAGCTACGCTACTTCTGAAAATACCGTTCCATCCATACAATTTGTATAAATGGAACGATATTTTCAGAAGTGGTGTAGCTCAGTGCTACACTTTCGATGCAAAGGAATCTTAGGAATATACGGTTCGTAGATAACACGGTGTCCTCTTCCGTCCATTGCTAAGGAATAAAAAATCGAGGTGACAGAAAATATTCTGCTGCAATTCGTACATTAGTTATTTAAAAAAATCTAATATTTTATTAATATTTAGTGGTGTTGTAGTTTTTATAAAATCGGTAATTTGATTTTTTGAAAAATAAGCTACAAAACTGCATGGAAAAATCATGTAAATATTTCCATAAAATTTCAAATTAATTACTTTGTATTTGAATTATAAAGAGAAATAATATTGTGTGAATGGTTTATTTTAAACATTTTGAATTAGAGTACATCCTCTGAGCTGAATTCGGGTCACACTTTGTTTATATCACAAAATATTTTAAAATTTTGGCAAGGCAAGAGCGAGCCGTAGTTTTGCTGTTGGCAAACAATTTTTACTGTTTACACACAAAAATCATTAGAATAAATAAAGGGACTGAGCCTAAACTGAAATTAAAGACTAATGGAAAGATTTTAGAGTAATTATTCTGCAAATATCATTCACTATTATTAAATAAATTGCAGCTTTGACCACCCTACATTTAAAAGCAGAGATGGTTTCTTACAAACACTAAAAAAATGGGTTTGTCACAGGAAGTTTTTAGTAAAAAGTACATAGTTACAAATCATTTTAAAGAATAAAAAATAAGGGTATTTTGGAGTTGAGAAGAAGCTTGTAAAGCATTCACCAGAAGATATTTGAGAGAAAGATGTTACCTTTACCTTAAAATACTCTATCTAAAGTATCCCTTGCTGGGGATTTCAAAAGTGTGCTACTAAAATATCTTTGAGATATGATCTTTTGGATGATTTATTTAAGTACTCCAAATACCTATATGTAATATTAAATCTCCTCTGTGTATTGTATGTATATAAACACAATAGATAAAACTGTTTTTCTCTAATTTGGTACCTATATTTATAGATTATTATAATAAAACTGGGTTGTTGTTGTTGTTTTATTGTTTTTTTTAAGTAAATTATACTGCTCATACATTCCAGAAACTGACAAAATATATTTTTATTTCTGATATAAATATACGTTGTATGTGTTTCTTCTAAAGTCCAACGGGTCCTTTTCTTCTATAAAATTATTTGTAACTACTTTTTACTAAAAACTTCCTGTAGAAAACCGTTTTCTTCAATAGTGTAGGTTCTTTTAGTAAAGCCCTTTGACTTGTCTTGCTTTTCGTTGTGTTTAATGCTTGTAAAAAACAAAACAAAAATACTACAAATGAAATACTAAAAAGTACTTTTAGGGCACAGGCCGCAAAAATAAAGCGGATCCGCTATCTAAACATTCTGTTTTATTTTTGATTTACCGTTTAATACTACCGGCGATATTTTTTTGCTATTATAAAATAGTAGTCCGTAATCCATATGTACATCAAATTTGAATAGAAACATTTTTAATTGAATAAGAGAACAACTACATAAAGTTAATTAAATCGATTTGACAAAAGCACTCTAACATTACAGCAATTGTTCCGATTGTTATCAAGAATGTATCTACTTAGTCATTCTTATCGATCACAGCCATCTCAGTTATAAGAAAGAATGTATCTACTTAGTCATTCTTATCGATCACAGCCATCTCAGTTATAAGAAAGAATGTATCTACTTAGTCATTCTTATCGATCACAGCCATCTCAGTTATAAGAAAGAATGTATCTACTTAGTCATTCTTATCGATCACAGCCATCTCACTTATAAGAAAAATTGGAAATAATATCATTTTGGATTTAATTTTCTATATTTTTTTAATATCTATAAGCGAATAAAAAGTAATGCATGATACACGGACGAAAAGTGTATTTTCGGACTCCTACGAGTTGCCAGGCTCGACTACGTCTCGCCTGGCAAACTTCTCGTATTTGGTCGCCCGAAAATCTCAACTTTTCGTCCTAATAACATAAACTACTATTATGTTATTAGGACGAAAAGTTGAGTTTTTCGGGCGAAACCGGTCCAAGAATCACGTTCTCCCTAGTGAGCAAAATGAAAGGTAGAGTGTTGAAGTTTAATTTTTCTGATGTCTTCCGAAGGGAAACGATCGCAACTATTTTATTTTGTGACATATGGCTTCATGATTTATTTATTTATTTTATTTTAAGTAAACTTTAAGTTGAATATCGCTTTGCTTTAGTAAAATAATGAAAAAATCTAAAAAAAAATAATTATTTCACTAAAGCAAATTTTTAATTAAATTATTATTATTATTGTTTTTTAAACAAACAATAACTTTTATGAAGAATAACATTTTCTTTAAAAGTTTTTCCACTTTTTCAGTCCATCCGGGGACACCCGTCTATATATAAATTTGGTCCAATCGACTTATTTTGACCCCAAAAAATTTGGGATACCCTGTATAATGCATGTGACTGACTTTTGACCATCTCCTGGGTCCTAATGCCTACTATTATAATATTGATCAAATAAGTCCGTATCCAGTAGTAACCCATTTAGTAAAACACCAGTTAACGTCATATTGACTTTTACAAATATTTATTTATTATTGAAAACTAAAAACCAGCTGATTTTTTTTTATACTTGCACCCAGAAATAATTTTTTTAACTATGCCTCCAGTTTCCAGGCACTGTTTCCCTTATAGGCCAAACGATTTTATGTACGGTGAGTTCTATACAGAATTTAAATAAAATTCGTAAAAATATTATTAAGTATTTATTGATCATACTCCAATTTTTCCATCTCCAGATCCAATATTCACTGTATCTGGGCCAACCGATCATTATAAAGCAGTACTAGTGGCCAAAATGTCCGCAGCTAAATTCGTAAGTATTAAAAATACACCTGTAAATATCTACTTAATTATTTAATAATGATAGACAATATTACTAAATTACAATGGTCTAATTTAATTTAAAGTCATCATCATTTCTATCTTTTCTATTAGAAGATATCGACCAGATTTGCCTCTCCCTTTTATCAAATTATTTACAAGAATATCAACATCCTAGAAATATAGAATAAAATAATATTTAAGCATCTCCTAATTTATACATCCTAAGAAGTACCAATACTTCTTTAACATACTTTAAAACTAATTAGTATTGTACACATTTCATTTTTAGTACCTAATCTCATTTCAATAATTGGGTCAATATAATTTTTTTTTATAAAACTAAATGTTTTATCAAAAATTGTAATTACCAAAACTTTAGAGACACGGATCTCTCACAATCTATAAATTGTTAAATATAGATAAGTGTTTCTTTTTTTAGCAAATATGTCCGATATTCCCGAATATGTTCTCGGACCTTCCGAACTACCCACGTGTACAACTAGTGAAGAGAAGGGACAAACCTGTACCAAGTTACCAAGACATTCAAAAATCGATAAATAAAAAAAAGGACCCATACATACAACGGCCTGTAGATGTGCGAGGGTAAACTATTCTTTTAATAGTTAGGATATCTAATAGTCGATGTGAAAAATACGCGGTAGTACAGGAAACGTTTGTGTTAATGTAGACTCTCAATCACAATATATGGATATATTGTGCTGCCAATTCCAAAGCTGGTGAAAACGTCTTCTCATATATGACCAACTCTCAATAATTAATTTCCTTAGTTCTACACTATGCCGGGTAGATTCTAAGGAAATTTTAATCAACTTTGACGGTTATTCTCTTTCCACCAAAGTCCCAATCCTGTTTTCCCAACGACAGTACACTACGTCTAACAGCTTAGTTTATCTAGCAGAAAAGTATCTAAAATGGATCTACTGTACTCGGAAATCCAACAAACAAATTACTATCCTTTTTTGAATGTCCTATCACTCGCCGATTGAAGAGTATCGTAAGCCATTCCTTTTACATTCAACATATCACCGATACTAACCATCGGTATTCATTTCGTTACTGATCGACTATCACTCATCTCCATGTTCATCTCCAGAACCTCCAGGATTCCAAAGTGACGACAATGCAATCTTCAAGGCTTAATGTGCCATCCTTTCAGGGTCTCACTCCATACCCAATCGTACCACAAGCTGAATGGTTCTTCGAATTAAAACCTATTATAAATATCCCAGAACTTGCCTTCTGTTAAATATTATCTGCTTATTCCTCGAATGGTGTGTCTATAAGGATCTTCCTGTGGGAAATCATACATCGGTGAAACAAGTTGCTCAGTCAACATCAGAATTAAATAGCCAGAATAATATCTGCTGCACTTCGTAATTTCCGTTAGATATAAGATTGATTGATAATTTGTATCGGAGTTAACATGATAGGGGAATCGTTGTTAACCAGCTAATTGGGAACATTGTTCCTCATTTTGGTTAGGTTACATGGTCCCCCACCATGTAACCTCTTCCATTTCTACCTTTTCAGATCTATTGCTGATATTCCTTATTGGTCATGCTCTAATGACTCTTTCTGTAACACTACAGAAAAGGTTCTGGGCCCAAAAGAGCCTATGAGGCTCCTTCTCGGGTTAGTAAATCAGCCTATTCATTGCTTCGAGTGTACCTGTACGGAACTGAGTATTTTGGGACAAATCCACTTTTTAATGGTCAAAAATAATTTTAATGATAATTTTAATTATAGGCATCATTTTGGATGGATAGCAGTCCACATAGCATAAATTAGGTTGAATACAACAAAATACACATAGTTTACAATAAAAATATATTTATTGTGCCGTTCATACTAAGGATATATAAGGTAAACGGTATATCGTAAATGATATACGATATGCGACTCGCACAAACATATACTTGAATTCTAAAGGAAGGCGATAAAAATAGGTTCACAGCCGCGCGATTTGTTGTGCAATTACGCGATTTGCAGTTCTTAATATAAAAAAAAAACAGAAATTTGCAATTTATTTTGTGAAAAGTTTTCGAAAATAACATTTAATTTTTTATTTTAATTTGATCAAAATATTGAAACTTTTCTCTCTTCACATACGAAATTTTTTATCAGTGGCGGCTCGTGACCCAAATATTGGGTGTTCACAATGACAGAATATAGTTCTCAGTACAGTTGTAGGTAAAAAAACTTTCAGTGTGATCTATATTTTGTTATTGTGAATGTGAACCCCAATATTTTGGTTACAAGGCGTTACTGATACGGATCCACTACGTAATTCCGGCAAGGCGAGAACACATTGTTTTAAATTGGAGTGTTCACACATATGCGTAGAATACGCAACCTCGTGGCATGCTGCCGGAAATATGCACCTACGCATGCACGTGCCGAGATCTGTCTACCGGGATTCCGAGAAGTTGATAGAAGACAAGTTATTTCGTCAGCGAGCATTCACACTGTTCTATACAAACTGACGATCACCAAAAAATATATACGCACAAAATCTGCACAATTTGAACGCAGAATGTAAACGCACAATATTAACGCAGAATATGAACACCAGTGGCGGCTCTTGACTAAAAAATTGGGGGTTCACAATGACAGAATATAGATCTCAGTACAGATGTAAGTACAAAACTTTAAGTGCTTTAAAAAGGTTTTAATATACCTTTCTAAACACTGAAAGTTTTTTCCTACATATGTTCTGAGATCTATATTCTGCCATTGTGAACCGCGTGAATACGCATACGTATTTTACGGATTCTAAAAATACGCATAGTGTGGACCCGACCTTAATACATTTTATGGAGTATATTATTGCTACTAATATAATGACATTTAATAACAAAAAAATTACAACGCAAAAAAGCGGAAATATGCGGAACATTTTTATGCTTAAACATCATTACAAAGATACAATGGTTATAGTCATCAAATTAATTTAAGACTGATTAAGAACTATAAATTAAGATTTTAAAGGAACCTTACAAAATTTTGCCATATAATTGACACACATTTCAATATTTTAAATTTGAAAAAATAATTGCTAAATTAAAAAAAAAATAGGTAAATTATGTAATACTCAAGACATGGGACGGCATCCATACTAAAAAATTATTCTTAATAAAAGCAAACAACTCTTATCACTGTCAGAAAGTACTAAAAGATTGAAGATAAACAAACGTTCACATTCCTGTACCACAAAATGTTTCAAAGAAGACTGAAATAATAGGCACATTTATTATTTTAAAACTATATATTTTGCACATCTGGTTAGCCCTATATGTATTTCTTGAAATACGTTTGTTCAAAATAAAATATTTAAAAATTTTGAATTCTTATTTTTGGCCAGAAAAATTCGATTAAACCCCAGTGTGCGTCGGTTGACTGTCTGAGTATAAGATAATGGTTTTTCCTTTTATCTTTACCTCTTTTACTCAGAGATGTATTGCTGCTATTTCTGCCTGGAATAGTGCCACATGATTATCTAAGATTCTTGTTTTTCGCTTGGCATAAATGAGCAATATATTTTTAATATCATTTAATCCTATTTTTTCCTTAGATCTGACAGAGCCAGATTCTGCGTTACGGTCATGAATTTCCCGCCGAAAGACTCTTTGCCATTCCAAGAATCTCCAACTTTCACCATTGAACAAATAAAAAATAAAGCCACCGAAGAAGTTACCAATGCTAAAACAAGAGACGTTGAAGTGGAAACCATATTCAGAGAATCCATCGCCCAAACTGACCCATGGGAGCCTCCGTACAAGGTCACTGGGAAAGGAGACCCGGAAGTTTTAAAGCTAGATTTCTTAAAATGGGGTAACATTTTTTTATAATTGCGTTTTAAGGTGTTTTCTCGTAATTCTTCATCATACAAATTTGCAGGTAGCGGTTTGCCGGCAGGAATGCACGAAATTCAACTAATAGAACGAGCTAGAATGAAAGTCGCTTGGGAGAAATACATAAATCCCAATATCTTAGATAAACAGTCAATCCAACAGTTCAGGGAGTACATGCAGGCGCTCGAAATGGACGAATGGGCGTTCAGAGAACAAGAAATATCCGAAATTCAAGGTCTTCGACTACAACTTTTAGAAAACATGCTCAACGAGATACATGACATGAGCAACGCCAGAAACCTGATGAAGATGAATCACGTCATCGAACGGATACAGAAACAAAAGGAGGAGAAGCTGGCACAAATGAGGAGAAAATCGTCTAGAGGTAACTTAAATTTTACAAGCATTCACATGTTACCGTAAATTGTAACGTTAAACCTTGTGTGCTTACTTTGGGTTTTATTTATATATATATATATATATATATATATATATATATATATATATATATATATATATATATATGTTACCCAACTACCGGTAGAGGTGTAACGATACGTAACGATCGTCGACCGCGTTACTATCTTTATTACGCACATGACCAAACATAATTAAGCGTCTCATCCTTATTTTGCTTGATGCACTGCTTAACATACTGTATAGGCAATTACATTTTGCTACTATTGAATATTCTTTAATTTTAGAATTGCGCAAGTTAGAAGTCGAGCGTAGAGGCTTCCAGAAGAGATATAAGGAAATGAATGTTATAGATGAACACCACGACAAGAAATCCGAAATTTACGCACCGCTTATGAGACATGGAGAACATCCGAAACGTTGGCATCTAGTCATCGACGAGAAATTAAAGCAGTACAGGGCGCAATTTATAGGTAAAGAAACAATATGACAGCATATTCTTCATCTTTTACTGTCTAGCATGGAAGTAGGATATTGAAGAAGATGCTATGTTCATTTAAACATGTATTCTAACAAGTATTAAAAGTAATTTTAAAAAACCGATTTCAGAATCGTGCAGATTCCATCACAACATCTTAACCAAATTTATATGAGGCAACCCCTAAGGTACCCGCTTACTAACAAAAAAAAATCATAGACATACATAAAAAATGAAAAGTTTGAGGATGGACCCAATTATTAGATTTTGACCAAATTTATATGGGAGTACGCCTGAAGTACCCCCTTTCTAACAAAAAAAGATTCATTGAAATCGGACACCGTATTAAAGAATTATCGTTGAACAAACATAAAAAATATATATACCGACGAATTGAGAACCTCCTCCTTTTTTAACAGTCTTCAAAAAAGAAGGAGGTTCTCAATTTGTCGGTATATTTTTTTTTATGTATGTTCAGCGATAATTAATTATTTAACAAGGTGACCAATGATTCTTTTTTTGTTAGAAAGGGAGTATCTCAGGGGTGGTCCCATATAAATTTGGTCAAAATCTAATAATAGGGTCCATGAGAAAATCCTCAAACTCTACATTTTTTATGTATGTTTAACGATAATTCTTTGCCACCTTGTCCGATTTCTGATTTTTTTTTGTTAGTAAGGGGGTACCTCAGGGATGGTCCCATATAAATTTGGTCAAAATCTAATAATTGGGTCCATGAGAAAATCTTCAAACTCTTCATTTTTTATGTATGTTTAGGGATAATTCTTGTTTATACTTGCCGAAGAATTGTTATTTTCGAAATGTTCTTGTTATCCACACCATTGTTACTTGTGCAATTGCACTTGGCCCACGAGGCCATTGTTCTTTTAAAGTGTTTGAGATGAATAGTTTATATAAACGTATATAATTAATTATAATGAGATTAAACAATACATTAAAATAGAAACGTGGTGATACTTTTGACCATGTGATTGCGTCTCCTTCTCCATGCTGTCTAGATAAGACAATTGCCGAAATTGATACATCATCGCTTTCACAGTCATCTTGTGTATTAATTATAATCAATTTATAGTATATTACATTACGAGTGTGGAAAGTCACTTTTCACACAAGTGATGTACAATATTTTTCCTACGACCACAAAATAATTTCATCAAAAAGTGTAAAACCAGCTTATTATTATAATAATTAAAATGTATTTAAAAAAATAATCAACAATAATCGTATTTATTCAATTTTCATATTTTCTAAACAAAAAAAAAAACTAAAAAACGAAAAAAAAAAAAAATAAAAAATTCTACCCCCGCAAGGATTTGAACGTGGTCGCTCGCCAGGTCTCAAATGGCAAAAGTTGATAAAGTTTGATACTATACCAACTGAGCTAATAGGCCTTGCGTCAATTGAATGATCTAATCGGTTATGTGTTTAACCAGAATAAAAAGCAAACATAACTTAGTTATTTTAAAATTATTTTAATAATAATTGTTAAAGATAAATATCTGGGATCTAATTTACAACAATTTCAATAATTTAACAATCATATCGATTTTAGTATTAATATGGACATTACATAGATCAAAATAGAAATTATTCGTTTGACATTTTGTGACAGCTGCTGCGGAAAGTAGCATAGGTATTCGTACACGGGTGGAAAGTAAATTCTTATTCATACGCGTGTGATATACGGCACTTTCCATAGGACTATTTAGTGTGATATGTGTCACTTTCCTAAGTGGTCGTAGGAAAAAAAGTTTTCGTTTTCGATTCTCGATTTAAAACTTGCACACCTTACATCAAAATTGTTTTTTAGGTGTAGAGAACATTAGCACCCTGCCCAAATGGTTGGACCAGGCCACAAGAATAGACAAACGCACTTTATATTCCAACTGGCCGAAACGTCGTATTTGCATAAGAGAAACCAAATGGACTGCGCCAGTTTTGAAGACACTTCACGATGAGTTAAGAGGTAAAAGATCAAAATTTGTTTGATTTTAATAATTGTTACACTTATTTTTAGACCTAAGAAAAGGTGCAGAGAACCGCCCTTTGTCTTTGCGAACGAAACTAAAACAGGCTATAGAAGAAGCGCATACACCAGAGGTTGAAGGTATACCGATAGAGAAAGAGCATCTGTACCAAGCTATTATTGTACTACAAAAAGTGATAAAAGGACGCGCTGCTCAAGCAACGGTATTCGATAATAATAATGTTGAAAATATACGTTATAAAAATTACCTTTTTTAAGATTTACGAAGGAAGAGATACGTGCAAAGAGCTCATTCAGGAATTGAAGCACTCAAAAGGATTAATGAAAAACCAGAAAGAGCGCAAGAGGAGAGACAAATTCAAAGTCAAAACTCAACAGCGAGAAGAAACTATACAAATGAAAATGGTAAGTTGTGTCGGGCTGTGATCTTTGATTACACATTTATACACTCTCCATTATCTTAATTATTATAGTAGTCTAAGACATCACTGTTATTTGTCATCGTAGATCTAAGCTTGTCAATTTGTAATAGAAATGTAAATATTGTTGGGCCCCTTAAGCATATACATGTAAATTTATTTGGAACTATTAAGGCTGTCCATGTAAAAATATTTGGTCCTTTTATCCCTTATGCCTATCCATATCAAAAAAGTATTTACTTTGAAATAATATGGATAACAATTAGAGTTAATTGTTAAGAATGCGACGTGCTGTCCTCTTGCTTTCACATCATAAAATTCGTTTCTATTGCTCTTTTTACAGTATCACTAACATCGTTAGTATTGAACTTACAATTTTTAGGTGGAAAAACTACAAGGATCTCTTGGCAAACTTCAAGGAATCGTCGTAGGATCCCTCTTGGACTTTTTGAACAAGGAACTCAGACGGCTACTCGAAGAACGTAAAGCGCACGCGATGTGTCTCATCAACGAAAGGGAACGGTACAAAAGAGAAGCGGTGGAAGCGGGACGGCGACAAAAAGAATTGCGAAGAAGACGTGAACACGACGAGATGTTCAAACAAATCGTTAAAATCACTCAGGAGAGCGTCGACGTTTACTTGAAGGACATCATTACGGAAGGAATGGAATTCTGTTCGAAAGAAGAAGCGACTGATTATATTGAGAAGTTGGCTGTCCAAATTGAAAACGAAACAGACGAGTCTTATAATTAGTGAGTAAAGATCTTTCAAGAAATAAAGTGACAACTTCGACAACTATATTTTGATCCCGAATCGCGAAATCAAAATTCGGCTTCAAATCAGATTTAACAAACACGGCTATTTCCTAAAGAAACAGCTACAGAAATAAAAATGGATTTAATATTTGATTTTCAGCGAGCCAACCATCGACGAACAAGACGAACTCATAGCGAATCTGGTCCTTCACTTTGTACTGCCCGATGTTCAGAAAAAAATAGTTCGTGAAAAAATATCAAACATACAGAAACACCGTTTGAAATCCATTCATGACAGTATTTATTCTAAAATTGAAGACTTACCTGCACCTGGTAAGTTTCCATTTCATTTCTTTTTTATCAAATGTTTAAACTGAATATTAAACAAAATTCCGAAGGGTAATGTCTTGTGAACTTATCAACCAATTTATGTTTTTTATTATGGTAGACATTTTTTTACTGTAGACAATAATAAGTCCAAAATGTTTGACTTTGGACACACAGTGTCGGCTATAGAACGCCACGTTGATATTATTCGTTTCCTGCTCGCCCTAACGCTAAACTATCTATAGTTTTTGCTTCAAAATGAGTAAAACGTATTGGAAAGTATTCAATAGCCGATATACTGTATATTTATAGTGTTGCATATCTATGAAATCGACTTTGAGAGCTCTATACAAATTTTTAATAATACATATAGGGTGTTATATTTAAATTATTCAAGTTTATGTTACTACCCTGTATATGACAGTGAAATAACTCATTTTCTAGATTGAAGGATGTTTTAATTTAATAAGATTTTTGTCTGAAGGTTTTTCATCGCTGTTCTAGATTTATTATTGTTCTATATAAGGTAGGTAATTGAAATTGCTACATTTATTATAGAATAAGTTGCTTAAAATTTAGAATAGAATCCGATTTATCATTTTTGAAATTCGTTCATTAGTCCCGTAATTATTTAGGAATTCCTGTTCACAATTTATCTAATTGTACTTCTAGTAAAATAGGTACCTAATATGTATTTGAGATAAGTCTGGCGCAATTTTAGTCAAGACTTTAGTTGGGATTTGAAAATGAGAAATATATCACAGATTGGCATCTAAAATATAAATGTTTAATAGCCTAAATATTTAAATTAATATTAATTAGAAAATGGTGATATTTTATCTTAATTTTGTAAAATTGCTGTTCTTACATCACCATCAACTGACATTAATTCGACAGGTTCTCTTAATTATTCAGTAAAAACTTTCAGACTTTATTAGAAACGCTAGTATAGTTATTTTCAATTCATCATTATTGTTAAGAAAAATACTTTTTTTAGTGTATCCAGAAGCTACATCTGAAGAAATCGTTGCCGATATATTGGAAGAATTGATAAAAAAGGTAGAAGACGAAATAGAATGGAATATCCAAGAACGCGAATTACATGCTCTGGACCTTGACTTAATAGAAGAAATGAAAGTTGAGGTAAGTATAAAGATTTTGAAAGAGTTGACATAAGACGCGAACGTTTCTATAAATTACCTATAGGTTCAGCAGGGCCCATTCTAGGGTAGGTAAATCCGAACATTTCTCTAGTGTGCCATAATTTGGAGATTTGGAATTTGGTGATTTGCATATCGATTTTTTCTTTCGCAACAATGTATAGTTCGAATTTAAAACTTTTTATGCCTAAAGCCTTAATGTTGTAAACTTAATAACCAAGTTAAACTTTGCCCCAAACAGTATTGCATTAAGAATATTGCTAACTAAACCAATAACTGCAGCAAGTGGCGAATGGAATTTCTCTAAGTTAAAAATACTTTTTACATTTGACTACTACGGAAAATTTTTATCAATTTTTATCAATTTTTATCAATTTTTATCACTTTTTATCAATTTTTATCAATTTTTATCAAATTTTATCAATTTTTATCAATTTTTATCAATTTTTATCAATTTTTATCAATTTTTATCAATTTTTATCAATTTTTATCAATTTTTATCAATTTTTATCAATTTTTATCAATTTTTATCAATTTTTATCAATTTTTATCAATTTTTATCAATTTTTATCAATTTTTATCAATTTTTATCAATTTTTATCAATTTTTATCAATTTTTATCAATTTTTATCAATTTTTATCAATTTTTATCAATTTTTATCAATTTTTATCAATTTTTATCAATTTTTATCAATTTTTATCAATTTTTATCAATTTTTATCAATTTTTATCAATTTTTATCAATTTTTATCAATTTTTATCAATTTTTATCAATTTTTATCAATTTTTATCAATTTTTATCAATTTTTATCAATTTTTATCAATTTTTATCAATTTTTATCAATTTTTATCAATTTTTATCAATTTTTATCAATTTTTATCAATTTTTATCAATTTTTGTCAATTTTTATCAATTTTTATCAATTTTTATCAATTTTTATCAATTTTTATCAATTTTTATCAATTTTTATCAATTTTTATCAATTTTTATCAATTTTTATCAATTTTTATCAATTTTTATCAATTTTTATCAATTTTTATCAATTTTTATCAATTTTTATCAATTTTTATCAATTTTTATCAATTTTTATCAATTTTTATCAATTTTTATCAATTTTTATCAATTTTTATCAATTTTTATCAATTTTTATCAATTTTTATCAATTTTTATCAATTTTTATCAATTTTTATCAATTTTTATCAATTTTTATCAATTTTTATCAATTTTTATCAATTTTTATCAATTTTTATCAATTTTTATCAATTTTTATCAATTTTTATCAATTTTTATCAATTTTTATCAATTTTTATCAATTTTTATCAATTTTTATCAATTTTTATCAATTTTTAATAATTTTTAATAATTTTTAATAATTTTTAATAATTTTTAATAATTTTTAATAATTTTTAATAATTTTTAATAATTTTTAATAATTTTTAATAATTTTTAATAATTTTTAATAATTTTTAATAATTTTTAATAATTTTTAATAATTTTTAATCATTTTTAATCATTTTTAATCATTTTTAATAATTTTTAATAATTTTTAACAATTTTTAATAATTTTTTATAATTTTTAACAATTTTTAATAATTTTTTATAATTTTTAATCATTATTAATCATTTTTAATAAATTCTATTAGTTGTTAATATTTTTTTATTTATTTTAACTAATTTTTATTTATTTTTAATTATTTTTAGTTATTTTTAATTATTTTTAGTTATTTTTAATTATTTTTAGTTATTTTTAATTATTTTTAGTTATTTTTATTTATTTTTTTTTGTTTTTTTACTTTTCCTCGTTAAAACGTGAAAATCCAAAACCTTGAAATACGTCATTATTTACTTATGATGAGTACCTAGCTACAATTCCAAATTTCTACAATTAAAAACCGACAGTCCCTTTCAAACTTTCACCTTCCGTTTCCTCCCTTAATATGTAAAATCCAAATACTTTGAAACATGTCTATTTATTTATGAAGAGTACAATTTTCTCTATTTCCCCTGTTAAAATATGAAAATCCAAAAACCTAAAACACTCCATTATTTATTTGTGATGAGTATCTATAATTCCAGTTTTCAACTTCCTACCTATAAAAAAATTGATGCTTCCATGCAAACTTTTAACCCCCGTTTCCCCCCCTTAAAATATGAAAAACCAAAAACCCTGAAACACGTCATTATTTATTTATGCTCAGTAGCAGTATTTCAAATTTTCATGTTTCACTACCACTATGCAAAAAATTATGTCCGATCCCTTGCTCTGTGAAAAAACAAATCGATCCCACGGGAACCGTACATTTTTTGGGGATAAAAAGTAGCCTATGTGCCAAATTTCATCCATATCCGTTCGGCCGTTCTTGCGTGATTCAGCAACAAACATCCATCCATCCAAACTTTCGCATTTATATATTTAATATGATAATAATTATTTAATACAAATTAATTAATCTGTAAATTTTGAAATAGTTTGTTGGTGAGTTTTATTCCTTTGGATTAAAAAAATCGATATTTTTTTAGGATATATACAAATTTTGGAGTCTAACAAGGATTTTTAACTTTAAACATTTTACAGGAAGTACCTAAAAGAAAAAGTATGGGTAGTGCAAGAAGTAAAAGAATAAGTGTCCAGTATAAGGATTATCCGGATCCTATGGAACTATATATGTCACAGTTGTTATATGAAACAGTAGAAGATGAATCTGAAGAAGGATTTGATTTGCACCATTATCAAGGAGATGAAGATTTAACTTTCAAAAATGCAACTTTAGCTACTATTCCCGAAGTTGATAATGAAAGTTCTGTTAAAGATTAATTTATAAAGATTTGTTGAAAATATACATTTTAAACTAAAAAATACCTGTAGATCAATAAATATGATTATCAAAAAAGATTTCAATTTACTTTCCATCCCCTTTATTAATCTATTATGTTATTTCATTTTTTTTATTATGCTTCAATGATGTATTTTGGGGCACTAAAATAGCTTTTTCCTGCAGATTCCGTCTAATTATGCCTTCTTGTTGCATTTATGTTAGGTTTAGGAGGTAAAATATTACCCAATAAAAGCAATGTATTCAATAATTTAATCAAATTCATTTATTTTTATCTCAAGAAACATGGATGTTTTGGAAGGAATATATCTTCATACATTAAGAAAATATCTTAAAAAAGATTAAGAGCAAACCGAAAAGCAAAAATGTTATATATTGAGAATACAGTAATGTTATGTCTCTATAATATAGAGAGCTTTAAAATTGTGCGATAAGGCAGCACTCTAGAGAGACATTAAGAAAATAAGGTGGGAAACCCTTTTATTTAAAAACTGCTAGACATTTATTAAAGCTGAAAATTTTTATAGAATTAATACAAAATGGCATGTAAATGTTTTTTTAATGCCTTCTAAAAATTATCAATAAATACTTTTTGTAGGTTTACAAAAAATCAAGGGTTCCCCACCCTAACTAAGCTTTATTATTATTATTATTATTATTGGTATTTCCTGAAAATTTCACTCATGGGACTAAAAATACAGGCTCAGAAGGAATTAGAAATGTTCAAGGTGTTCAGTTTGCTCTTAATGTTGACTTGATTTTGTACTTATTCAAGTATTTTCAAAACTTACTTTTTTAGTATCTAGTTCCTTTCATTATATTATAAAGGGTTTCTCAAAAATAATCACATCATATTACTCAACCGTTTATAATCTATTTTCTCTAATTGCACGAGAGGCCTCAATTGCTCTGCAAATATTCTCATGTCTTCACCAATAGAATCCTGACCAGATGGTGCCAATACTGATAATTCAACTATGTAACTTTGTGAAATAGGTTCAACACTTTCTTGCTTATTACTACCCATTTTGAATATCTTTGAAACTGTAATCTTCATTCTACCTTTTCTAAACATGTAACCCCTGGCGATATATTCAAAATCTATCCTGCACCCTAACTCATTGAGAAATTCGATAATTGAAGAGCTGCAAGCCATATCTATACTAGAACGAACCACTGTTGGTCGATTTTTGTCACCCAGTTCCTGTTGACCTATAATAAACAAAAATAAACCTGATGATATTCAAATTTTTAAGATATTTACCTATATATCGGAGTTGAAATGGGGTATCGGTTACATCTATGGCTCTGCGAACTCTAAGTGAAAATACTGACATTGGCATCGACGTTGTTGCGCCTGAATTGGGTATTCTTAACGAAAAACATATTTCATGGTCGTGAAACGTTTCAGGTCCACTATCAACATTATCGCATAAACCTCTTAAACGGTGTAACAAAACTTCTACATATTGATCCAGGACAGAACCCTGAAGAAGATACTCCTGATTTGGTATTATATTACACTTCAAAGCAGCACTTAGAGAGTCCATAGCATTTCCTGGAGTCGACATTTTTAAATTTAAAACTAACTATTATTTTAAACAATTAGTACAATTACAAATCTAGCATAAAAAGAAAATTAATAACAAATTTCTAACCCTACTTTTTTATCTAATAAAATTTCTTCTTCTTCTTCTTCTTCTTCTTCTTCTTCTTCTTCTTTGATTCTATTTGGACTACCCTGGTAACTCAACAAACGAGGTTACGGGCCATACAAAAGAAAAAGTAGGTTGGATGCAAAAGAAAATCTGAGATGAGATCTCATTAAAAAAATGGTCCGTATTTATAAACAAAACTCAGCTGAGTCGAACTAAGGCCCGTATTTATAAACAGAACTTACGTGAGTCGGACTTGGGTAAGTCGTCCTTGAACTAAAATCGAAGTTCGGTTACAACGTCTTTAAAGTTCCAGGTAGTTATGGTGTTAAACTGGAATTTAGATATGGATATTAGCAAATCTGTAACTGTTATGTACATTTACGGATTTGTTACTATCCATCTCTAAATTCACGCGATATAACCGAACTTCGATTTTAGTTCAAGGACGACTTACCCAAGTCCGACTCACGTAAGTTCTGTTTATAAATACGGGCCTTAGGGCTATTTTAGTTCAAGGACGACTTACCCAAGGCCTTAGTCGTCCTTGAACGAAAATCGAAGTTCGGTTATATCGCGTGAATTTAGAGATGGGTAGTAACGAATTAGTAAATGTACATAACAGTTATATATTTGCTAATCTTCATCTCTAAATTCCAGTTTAACACCAGAACCACCTAGAACTTTAGAGACGTGGTAACCGAACTTCGATTTTAGTTCAAGGACGACTTACCCAAGTCCGACTCAGCTGAGTTTTGTTAGGCCCGTATTTATAAACAAAACTCAGCTGAGTCGGACTTGGGTAAGTCGTCCTTGAACGAAAATCAAAGTTCGGTTATATCGCGTGCATTTAGAGATGGGTAGTAACAAATCCGTAAATGTACATAACAGTTACATATTTGCTAATACCCATCTCTAAATTCCAGTTTAACACCAGAACCACCTAGAACTTTAGAGACGTTGTAACCGAACTTTGATTTTAGTTCAAGGACGACTTAACCAAGTCCGACTCACGTAAGTTCTGTTTATAAATACGGGCCTTAATAAATACGGGCCTTAATAAATACGGGCCTTGGTTCTGTTTATAAATACGTGCTCGGTGTAGCTCAGAGCTACACTTTCGATGCAAAGGAAAAGATCTAATTAAAGTTATTAAAAGCAGAAGACGAATGTCAAAATCTTGTCAAAATACGGCTATTTGCTAGTCATCTCCAAAATTTTGTTGCTTTTATATAGAATTTATATCATTTAATCATAAACTGAAAAATGACTCAAATAGATGCAGATCGTGAAAAAAGTCTCCAAGAGTACAGAAAGAAATTACTGGAACACAAAGAAGTGGAATCCAGGTTAAAAGAAAGTAAATAGAATTAGCATGTAATTTATGATGAATGTGACAAAACTTTTTTTTTAGTGCGAGAGCAGCTGAAGGATCTAACAAAACAATATGATAAATCAGAAAATGACCTGAAAGCATTGCAGAGTATGGGACAAATTGTTGGAGAAGTCTTAAAACAACTTACAGAAGAAAAATGTAATGATTTATTAAAATTTTTCCATAATCACTTCTAACTGTATGTATTTTCAGTTATCGTCAAAGCTACTAATGGTCCACGTTATGTTGTTGGTTGTCGTCGGCAATTGGATAAAACAAAATTAAAGGCAGGAACAAGAGTAGCTCTAGATATGACCACTTTAACTATAATGAGATACTTGCCAAGAGAAGTTGACCCCTTGGTTTACAACATGAGCCATGAAGATCCTGGTGATGTAACTTATTCTGCTATTGGTGGTCTTTCTGAACAAATTAGAGAACTCCGAGAAGTTATTGAATTACCATTAATGAACCCGGAGTTATTTATGAGAGTTGGAATTACACCTCCAAAAGGTTCATACAAAGGATATATTATTATATTACATTTTCTACAATATATTTTTTAGGTTGTTTGCTTTATGGACCACCAGGTACAGGAAAAACTTTGTTGGCAAGAGCTGTGGCTTCACAACTTGATGCAAATTTCTTGAAAGTTGTATCTAGTGCTATTGTTGACAAATATATTGGAGAGTCTGCCAGACTTATCAGAGAAATGTTCAACTATGCTAAAGATCATCAACCTTGCATTATTTTTATGGATGAAATTGATGCTATAGGTAATCTAATTAATTACCTAGATTGTGTAGAAATAAGTTTATGACTTTTTTTATTATAGGTGGTCGCAGGTTTTCAGAAGGTACATCAGCAGACAGAGAAATTCAGAGAACTCTCATGGAATTGCTTAATCAAATGGATGGATTTGACTCTTTAGGACAAGTAAAAATGATAATGGCCACCAACAGACCTGACACATTAGATCCTGCTTTACTCCGTCCAGGCCGTTTGGATAGAAAAATTGAAATCCCTCTACCAAATGAACAGGCCCGTCTTGAAATTCTCAAAATCCATGCCTTCCCTATTGCCAAACATGGGGAAATTGATTATGAGGCAATTGTTAAACTATCTGATACTTTCAATGGTGCAGATTTAAGGTAAATAATTTTGAAACATTTTCGTAACTGAATTTTATATATATATATATATATATATATATATATATATATATATATTTTTTAGGAATGTTTGTACCGAAGCAGGACTTTTTGCAATCAGGTCAGAGAGGGAATATGTTATTCAAGAAGACTTCATGAAGGCTGTAAGAAAAGTTGCAGATAATAAGAAACTTGAAAGTAAATTAGATTATAAACCTGTGTAAAGAATTTTTAACAGAATTTTCATTACAATAATATTTAGGTTTTCTCTTTTATTTTTTTATTTGTAACAATTATTAATGAAATATCTTTTGAAATAAATTATTAGATATTTTTTATATATTATAAATATGATCAAAATTATCTGATGTGTCCAACACATGGTTTTCTTGTGAAGATATCAAATTTATTGAGTACGGCCCATCTAATCAAAAAGTGTTTACAATTAGAAATAAAGATAATAACTTTCTACACATTTTCAATCTTCATTGCCAACAAAAAATACTCAAAAAACTCAAATTTTGCACTTTTCTGCAAATATTTCCATTGACTGCTATTTTAGAAAAATCCTATATCACAAAAATTGCTCTTATTCAAAGAAGTTTCTTTAATAATAACAGAAAACTACAGAGAGTTAGCATTAGACAAGCAGGAAACCAGTGGCGGTTTGCCCGTAAGGGCACTTGGGCACGTGCCCTAGTATAAAAAACAAAAATAACTTACATATTTTATATTTTCCTCAATGCCTATTATTATTTTATCTAATATTCAGCGCAAACCGCGTTGGCACGACACTGGACGACTGGGCGTTGAGCGACATTCCGAAAGAAGATGGGCACAGTAAAAGTGTGCCTCTGTTTTCTCTCTCATTATGATGCGAAAAACAAGGACAACGACAATATCGCTTAGCAAGAGATGAACACATGCGATGGATTATACGTCACAAGCAGGGCGCTGTCCTCAGCGTGACGTGCTTTACCCATAGCACAGATTACCTAGACCAGATATGAATGTATGCAGAGGCATCTTTACCGGCCCCCTCACAAAAGCGAAGCCGGTTTCGGCTTAATGTGTGCGTTTGTAGGACCATGATAATAATTTATTTATTGTGATTACGAAAAAACGTTAGTTGGACCATTGGAATAGTTAAGAAATAAAACTACAAAGAAAAATAACTTTTTTTTTATAAATCAGTCAAAAATATGATTAAAAAAAAATCAATAATATTTATAAATGGGACAAAAATTTTATTTTGGTTTTGTCTGACTTTTTCGAGGATTTCAAATCTCTGTTTGCATATTTAGGAGTATAAAAAATTCTGAGTCTTATAAATAATTTAATGGTGTACATTTTCGCAAATTATTGGCAAGGTATTCATTGGAAATTCCAGGTTTAGTTGACAAACTATCAAATAGAGATATAAATATTTTTTCTAATTTGAAAATATAAAAGAAATTTTTCGCTGGGAGATTTTAAATTGCCAAACACCTTTTCTTCAGAGTCGTATGCGTTAACAAGTTAGAATTGTTAAGAACCGATTCCACCGTTGTGTTAAAATGACATTTTTACATTAACAATGTCATTTTAATCTCCGTTTTTTGCCACTGAATTTTTTTAAAGTAAAATTAGAAGTTTTTTCTTTAAAATGTTAAAAGTGCGTATTAATATAGAGTCGAAAGTTTGTGCATTTTTCTTTGTGATGAACTGTGCAATCTGTTGCGCTTTAAAAGTGTACTAAAACCTGACTGAAATGGACGCGATCGTCGCTTTGCCAGATTTATTTTTGTCAGGCTAGAAGTAGAGTCGGTAATGCTCAATAATTTCTCAGTTATCAACTGAATGTCATAGCGTATATTTGAGATAGGGTTAAACGTATTTGTGTATCAAAAATAGAAAATTCAATGTATTTGTTTCTCGACTCCTTTGTTTTTATCGCAGTTCGCTATTATTTATTTGTCGTTAGTAGTGATATATTGGTATGTTTCTAAACAAAAAAACCGAACTGTTCTTTTTTAGATATAGTTTTTTTTTGTTACAAAATACAGAGTTGTTAACACTGAACCACCATGTCAGACTTTTAAAAGACTGTTTTCTTTTTGTTTGTTTTTTTAAGTGATAACTTGTCACTTAAACAGAGGGGCTACTCTGTTAATGGAGATATTTTGTCGCAATAAAAGGATAACTCTGAGATACAAAGGACTTGTCTTTTGCTCTTTTTTAAAATAAAATAGTTTTGTGAGATTCTCGTTAAAATAGATGTTTTTACAATATGTACTTCTTAAATTACTATAATTACATAACTTTTTATGTGATTCGTTTACTTCTATCATAATATGTTATTGCATTGCTATTTGAAGAATAGTTAAAAAATGAACTCTTTAAATAATTTTCGTTATTTGTTTTTAATTTGTTGAAATAAACATAGTGAAAAGGTAAGATAAATTAAACATTAGATTACAATTATTTAGAGGAACATGTAACCGCAGCGAACAAGCATGAATTTTTATTAGACATTAGTAATCTTGGCTCCATTGGTAATAATTGGGGAATGTTTGTATAAAAATTTAATTGTACTTTTTTTAATGATAGGTTATTAATTATGAAATATTATTTGAAATAAATTAGGTGGGTCTTTGACCAAATAACCTTATATGGAGACGTCGTACCTGTAGTTTATAGTGCGGAAGTAAAATTAAATACTATTTAAAAAATTCCTACGAATAGAATCTAAGAGCTGAAATTCAGCAGAGCTTTTCACCCTTTTATTAGTGAGGGATGGCTGTATGGGTTTTGAAAACACTTTATTTTTAATACGATTTCCATGATCTTATTTTATTATAATTAAAATACAGATCAGCAGATGGTTTAAAATCTCTTTTTAACTGAATGTATACGTCCAATCACTGTAAATTAAAACTTTTCTCCTATTTTAAGCTTCTCTGGTTTTTTCGAGAATAAGATACTGTAACCCATTATTTTGATCGTTGTTTTACTCTGTGAGATGTTATTATTTACCTCACAAGTTTATTTTACTTTAAATTCTATACTTACTGTATAAATTGCCTTTTTCCTTAAGTAGTAGAAGTGATCGTCTAGTTAATTAATTTATATACCCACGTTAATTGTGATAATGTTAATAAAGTAAACCAGGATTTTATGCAAAGTTTGGTCCAAATTGATAAAAAAACCAGACAAATTTATATTTAAACTCTTTTATTTTTCATACTTTAAATGTGATGCAATAATTAGCAAAGTATATTACAATTGGTGTACTATTTGCTGAGATCTCACTTGAGTCCCGTTCAAACCCAGAGCACGTTCATTTGCTATCAAGATATATTTTATTTAGGTTGACGACCAACGGAGTTAACGAACAGCTTCAATTCGCCAGTTGGTTAACTACTGTGTTGATGTTTATATTCTTATTTAGGTTGATGACCAACGGCGTTAACGAACAGCGCCAATTCGCCACTTGGTTAACTACTGTGTTGATATTGATTTGATTCTATTCTAGATATATATACACAGGTTGTACCCTCTTAGGTAAATATTTCGACAAGTATAGAGGTGATGACCAACGGAAGTAACGTTGATTTCACATATACTTTGTTTCAAACCTATTAGAATTGATGGCTTAGCATATAGGTGTCCCCCTTGAGCTAACGAACAGTGTATTCACCAGTTGGTTAACTTATTGTTAAATTTTACCGTCTCTGTTTGTACAATTTATCCACGATAGCACATCCCTGTATATTCCTAAATTATTGATTTTTATACTTTCTATTGAAATGACTTGATACAACCCTGTATATTTTTTAATATTGACTATTATAATTTCTATTGAAATTATTTAATACAACCCTGTATATTTCTTAATATTGATTTTTATAATTTCTATTGAAATACTCTAAATTAACCCATCGAAACAGATGTCTTCCTGTCTTCGGGGTGTATGACCTGAAGGCCATGTGGTTTATTGGTTACATTGATAATATTTTGCAGAAAATGTCATGTTTAAACGAAACCCCGGTGGTATCCCAAAGAAAGTTGCATAAATCTTTTGACTCGCCATTGAAAATACAGACATTAGATTCGTCTGTACCAGCGTTACTCAAAGTGTGGTCTGCGAAGCCTTTGTGGGGGCTCCGCGAGGAAAATAATAAGCAGAAAAAAAAAGAAGCAGTACTATCGCGCTAAGGGAAGACACTATAGGAGGATATGATTTTGTGTGAGGATTTTTTTTTTAGAAATGTGTTTAGGGCGTTGTGACGGCGTCGATGTAGGTACGTCGCAGCGTTGAGCGTCGTGATGGAGAGGAAGGTATTTAATACGGTACTACATTGTGACAGATATAGGGTAGAAATATTTAGGTGGTGCGGGCCGTGACGAAGTTTGTCGACAAGGATATTATGAAGGAAATATTTAGGGGCGGCAAGCGTCGGGAAATAAGACGTGGGACATTGACAGCGTTCGGGGGATAGGAAAGGTACTGATTACCGAACTTGAAATATAACTGGATACAAATAATAAATGAATTCTTGCACATCAAATAATAAAAAAATGGATGCTTGCACATCAAATAATAAAAAATGAATCAATATGAGCTTCTTTTGGTCTGAGTTCTTATAGCAGTTTTAATGGCTTTTTGTGACGTCTCTGCGTGTCTTAGTTCCCAGCGAAAAACGAATTAGGGTGGAAAGAAAAGTGAGTGGTAAATTTATTATGTGCCTTGAGAGCTTTGTGTATCGAAATCGGTCTTAACATCGAAGCTAGAAAGATAAGCGAGTTAAAGTGTTTTAATGATGATTACTTCGTGAAAAGAAATATGTTTTATGGTGGTTTCAGGTCGGATTCCCAGACACTTGTAAGAAAATGGATCTCTTACGGGCAGGGTTATAGATATTATTTATTAGGTGTCGTAAATAAGATTTAATTACCTGGGAGATTTTTCGTTAAATGAAGGATTTTGAATTTAATAAGAATGCAATATTATATTTAATAAATGGAATTAATAAATTATTAAGGTACCTGGGTGAAGTAGGTTACATTACTATGTTCCTCTTAACTGATTTTTAATAGACTATTAAATATTCATATTTTGCATAGGTTTTTTTTTAAGAAAAAGTATCGTTTTTTCAAAAATTGTATCACATTTTTTAAATATTTTTTATTATACTTTTATTATAAAATAATAATATTCGCATCTATATTTCGAGGTAAGATATCATCATAAAACATGTACTCCTACTTAAGATGTGCCTTGATGAGTCAGTTTTAGTACACTTTTCTATGCAAGGTGGTCCAGTTTATATCAGAATTTCACCAGTCAATAGGTAGTTTATCAAAAAATAAAGGTAGTTTGTCTGATAAAATATAGTCCAATTTTGCTCCTTTTTGATGTAAAGCTTTTTTATAGTTTTTTATTAATATCTAAAAAAGGCATTGATCTATTTTAATTAAATTTTTAGTTTGTTAGCAAGTTTAAGAGGTGTCTTTCAAACATGCTATAGTTGATCCAGTGATTCCAGAGGCGTGCTCACCGGGCACAGAAGAACATTACTTATCTTACTGTTTTCGAAAAAAAAAAAAATTAACTAACAAATTTGCACGACTCTGAAAACCTGAACCCCGATGTACATAAAAAAAGCAAAATTTAATCATAGTTTATTGGCCAAAGTAGATTTATTTTTCGATTAACTCATTATTCAGATGGTGAAATCCTAAAGATATAAACTGGACCACTCTGTAGATATCAGTCTTATTTTTCTAGGCGTATCGAAATAGTTTTTTTTAAATACTAATATTTTCAAATAAAATAACCAAGTATTAAAATATATGTATTTACATGTTTATAGTATTTACAAATTAATATTACGTTACTTTAACAATATTTTCTAGTTTATCTAATTGATATCTCAGATTTACATCATACCCAACACCTTTGAGTTGTTCAACGGTAGCAACTTGCCGAGAAATCGTTTCAATTAAATTTCTCACATCGCTAGGCACAAATTTAGCCAAAATATACATCAACTGGAAATAATTGGTGGCATTGAAACCCAAATGTCTTTCTGTCGTTGATATGATACAACCCGAAAATTCCTGCTTGATCTGTGGATACAACGGAGAGAAACATATTACTTTTATTAAATTTATAGCTAAATTCCTCTGAGGGTGAAAAATCACTAATTCAAACAATCCACAAAGAGTTTTAGTAATAACAAGTCTTAGAAGAGCAACTGACGTTGTACTTTGCACTGTATCACACAAGATTTTAATAACTTTTATTAAATTACCATCGGATTCTTTTACGGGATGTTTAAAATAAGAATTTGAAATTTTTTCTAATACAACTTCAGCGGTAACTTCATTTTGAAGACTTTTTAAAACAGGGGAATCACTGGTAGAAAAATGATTCATGTATTTAGTAATCAGGTCCCTCAAAGTTCTTTCCAAAAACATATCTGTATCGTCCTTTAATAATACCAACCCCTCATAAAATAAATTCCAGGTTTTTTTAACGGAATTCAGGACGTATTCGTGTGGAGTTTTCCCCAATAGGACTTCAGATGGCAGTAACAAACATTCGATAAGTTTCGTTAAAACGCTAGAGCAACTGTTTCTGTTGTAAAGAAGAGGACCGCAATGTAGAAAAGCTAGGGAAACGCAAGTGTATATTCTTAAAACAACTTGTTCATTATCTGGATGCGTTAAACATTGATTTAACCATTTATCAATTCTTCCGAATGATACTTCACAAAGTTTGTTTATATTATTAGATTGTCTGTGAGACTTTAAGTCACTACCTAAGTATTCTACAAGAGCTGTGATGGGATCCTGTGATGTATTTACATGTGATTTAAGTTTTAAAGGAAAATAATCTAGTTTTGTAACAATTTCTGTCAGGGCACCACAAGGTTCTGTTATTAAAAGACAAATTTTGATCCACATTTGAACTACCGCAATTTCTTGTTGGGAATTTAAAATACAACTATTTGGAAAATCTGTTAAAACGACAGTTAAAAAGTTCAGACCTATTTTTGGAGGTATATTATCACCAGTAAAGTAATTAAAAATGTCTGTATATAACTGCGGTATAAGTAAACACATTTTTCCAGCAATTTTTCCTATAGACCCAGGTGCATTGTGAGTATGAATAACTTGTTTTAAGGCAGGATAAACGTAGTTTCGAAAACTCTGAGACCAAAGTGACCAAGAATCCGGATTTTTGACTTTTTCTAAAGTAATTAACAAAATATCAAAAGCAGCAGTCATATCAGGGTAATAACAAGATGATAAATATTTCACTAACCAAGCATCAAGAAATATCCATTGATGCAACTGCATGTTTAAGCTGAAATTTAAAATGTGTTCAAAATTTATTATAAAAGATTTTATTAAATGAAAGTTCTTGTAATCCAGTGAAGCTTCTTTAATCCATGATAGTAATATGGAAGCAGTTTTCTCCACTGTTAGGCCCCGTTTTACTTGCATGAAAATCTAAAAAAAAAAGTTTAAATATTAATATCTGTACAAAAAATAACAAAGTACACATACAAATGAAATGAGTAAATTCCATGATATAGAATCCTGTTTTTTTTCTTGAGGAAGTCCATCAAAAAACGAAATAATTTTTTTAACCAGTTCTTCATAGTTTAATGTGCTTAAACTGGAAAATAGGAATATTACATGTACAATTCCAACTTCATTTAAATCTTTTAGCTTTTGTGGCCCCAATTGGGAGTAAATTCTTCCCTTCATTTTGCCCCAATGACTGGGATACTCCTTCAAATGACTTATTAGGATACCAATGAATTTTTCAAAATCTTCATTACAATCATCTGGAGATGAAATTATGTGACTTAGAGAGTTATTAAAGTCCAAGGTACTAAAACAGGAGTATTTTTTCTTTGACACATTGAGCCTTTTACTATAAAAATCCCATATAGTTTGATACACTTCTATTTTGGCATTCTTTATCCAATAATCAGTCAATAAATTGTTTATGATTTCAAAAAGTTTTAATAATGTATCTGAATTAGCATTTACAAGAATAGATTTCAACTTATTATGTAATAAATCATAATTTGGTGTAATTCTAGAACAACTATTTCCTATATGTTGAAAATTTTGATCTATTAATTGTAATGCTGCAATTTCTGTTAATAACCACAAACAAAACATAGGATCTTCATTTTCTAATTTTTTATTAAATAGATTCCAAAAACAATAGGAATCTGTTTTTGTTTTTTCATAAAAAAGTTGAACGAGCAACCAGATATTTTTGATACAGCTACAAACAAATACTTGTCTAGTTTGCCTCTGATAATTCATTTTACTGAATTGAATTAAATTAGTAACTAATTTTTCAATAGCTTCCTCTATAGTACATTTATTTCCTTCACAAATATAAGTCAAGAACAACAAATAATATTCCATTTCAAGGTATGTATGAAAATATTGATACACTGGATTTCTAACATCATTATTTTTCCATGAAGACAACTTTATAATAAAATCATCTCTCATACTATTTATTGGAATTACAGTATTAAAAAGGCATTTTAATTTCTCGGCTACTTTTTTCTTGTATCTCTCTCGCCGTAGAGAACAGTCGAATATCTGCAATGATTCTTTAATAGCTCGAAAATATTTGTTTATTAATTCTCTAGCATATATAATTTCCTCATATGATATAATATTATCATACAATGCAATACTTTGAAACAAAAACCATTCTCTTTGTATGTGTCCTATAATTAGTTCAATTTCTTCGATAACAGCTTCTTTGTGAAAAATATTAGGTCCAATATAAATGTTTAAATCACTTGAACTTTCGAATTTGGAATTAAAATATGTTTGAAAATCATCGTAAAGTAATGTATCGTTACTTTTTTCACAAATTAATAAAAATGTATTCATTATTTTTATTATTTTTTGTGATATTTCGGAATTAAAAAATTAGGTTAAAGATATTTTCAGTTTGGCGAGGTTTGGCGCACTTTTAACAAAAGTTTAAAAATTTGACATTTGACGTCTCTATACCAGGGGGTCGATTATCTTAGATAATATGATGTCTATGGTCGATTCTCGACTTGTAGGAACCTTTTCCTATGAGAATTTGTAACACTTTCCTATATGTAGGAAAATGTCATAAATTTTCGATGTATATAAAAATGTCAAAAATTCCTATAGGAAAATATTCCTACAAGTCGAGAATCGATCCCCTGGGGCCCAATTCCTGACGCCTTCGTTAACTTATCGCATGCGATAACGTATGCGACTTGATGAAAGTGTATTCCTGAGCTGGCGGCATTTGTCAAATTTATTAACGCGTGCGCTAAGAAATGATGATTTTCAAAGAGCGCTCATGACCGTTCGACAACCACTTTGTCGCATTCGTTAAGGTAAAAGTAAGGTTATAATCAGAGGGTTGTCTCCACATACTTTGATTACTATACGGGGCAAGAGAGAGGTCCGACACCACATACTTTGATTTTCTTTTACTATACGGAGAATGGTCGCACTGCGCAGCTTTCTGAGTGCCTTTTAAAAGGAGATAGAAAACTCCGCCATTTTTAACCCTTATTACGTGTTGCCTACATCTTGGCGCAATATTTTTAATAGGTGCGTTTTAATCATCCGCTTCTGCTCACATACTTAAATAGGTATACGGCGTAAAACCCTCTGCGCATCTTTACTGAGTGTTTAATAAAAGAAGATAGAAATGACCGCCATTTTTATATAAACAAACTGAAACTTATGCAACCAATTTATCTTTCCATCTGTCAAAAGTGTCAAATTTTAAAGTGTTTGTGAATTTGGTTAAATTTTTTTGTGTTATTTTAGAATATTTTGATTGTGGATATTATTTTCTAAGTGTATAAACGTTTTATTTATTTTAACATTTGTGAATAGACTTTAATCCCAGTATAAGTTCTCTATACTGGGCTTTATTCAAGATGTCGTGTAAGATCTTGCAAGAACATAAGAAGACTGTTGCCAATAGATTCAAATGTTACATTCCACAAGTAATAAGATTTAGCAAAAATAAAGGATATGAAAGCAGTGTCTTTATATTATTTTAGGGTTCCAAAACAAGCAGATCGTTACTTATTGTGGTTATCTGCCATATAGAGATTGGACAAAATTTCTTTTAAGTTGTTAGTACAATTCACTGCAGAATCAATAAGGACGACCCATTCACTAAAAATTTGTAGCTTTTAGAAATTATACAAGAAGAAAGTAAATTGTTTAAAATAAAACAAATATGCAACCATCAATTTAATTTTAAAGTATCCTGGAAATTTTAATATTTTTAACTTCCTCTACTTTTGTCATTTAAAATTAGTATTTAGGTATTTAATCTATTATTTGTCGGCCTATTATTTATCAGCCTAACATGTATTTTTAAACATTAAAATATTTTTATTTGTTGTAGAATAAAAATTTAATTCAAGTATAATATTGTATTATTTCTTTTAAAAAATCTGTACAAAATTATGTATTTAAAAGTGGAAAGAGCTAGACATCTGCAACCAAGTTTTCATATTGCTGTATTTCTGGTCACCTATGTACTAGTAATCTTGTATAAAAATGGCCGCCCCTATGTTAAACAGGTCGGACGTCTCTCTTGCTCCGTATACCTATTATAAGTATGTGCTTCTGCTTCGGAATTGTCAGTTTTCTTATTTTAATCTGACAGGTTAAAACGACTAAACCGACAATTCCGGAAGCAGAAGCGGATGATTAAAACGCACCTGATATTTTGCTTGCTGCTGTCAGTGTCAGTGAATATTATTTTTGAAGTCACAGTTTATTGCTAAAGAATCAGTTAGCTCACTCGGACCAGTTGAAAGTTCCAAAATAACATCCACTCCAGGATACCTATTCTCTAACTCATGGGAGCACTCCCACACTTTTATGCTCCCATACTCCCATGACAACGTTGCCAAGTCGACAGAATAACTTTGATCTACTTAAGGACCGATCTACCGTTGTGTTAAACGAAGTTTGAAATGACATTTTTACATTAACAATGTCATTTTAATCTCCGTTTAACTCAACGGTGGAATCAGCCCTTAGTAATTCAAATTTGCTTTGTGATAAATACGGACCTAATCTGGCAAGCCCGCAATTCTCCCTCCCATAGTATAATAAAATCTGACCTTACTACGCATGTACCTGGGCTAAAAGTGAGTAAGCACGATATACCCACCTAAGAGTAAGAGAGCAAAATATATGGGAGCACTCCAATGAACTGGAGTGGGGTAGAATGCTTGTCAATAGGCTTGAGATGCGACTCTATGGGCAAAGACAGGTTATTTTTCATCTCACTCGGGAGTATTTATAACAACCATTTTCTATTTCACTTTGTTATTGTCTGATCCACCAGCTTGTGGATTGAACAATAACAATGTGAAATAGAAAATGGTTATTATAAATGCTCCCGAGTGAGATGAGAAATAAAAATGGCTGCGCCCATAGAGTCGCATCTTGTTCTATTAATACAATATGCACATTGGCTTTCTACCCCACTCCAGTTCATTGGAGCACTCCCATGGGAGCGCTCCCATGACTTAGGGCCCTATTCAGTAATTTATCGTTTATGGACGACATCGTTAAGGTAACGACAGTTCAACCAACGACTTTTATAACGATAATTTTTGAAACTCTATTCAATAACAAAGTCGTTACGTTGTTTCTAGTTACCAAATCTGAACGATAATTTCTATTAAGTTGGTATTATAATTTAGTGTTTTGTGATAAAAGAACGTATGTTGATGATTATACCCGGTGTTTAAATTAAAGTGTTACAGTTAAATATCGCCGAAAATATGCATTTTATAAAAAAAAGTATCAGACAAAAGTTTTATAGTTTTTTAGGAGAAACATTTTGGCTAAATTAATTTTTTTATAGCTGACCATAATATGGCCATATCGAGGTGGATTTTTTTTTCAAATTGGAACCCCATTTTTTTTACATATATTAGAGTTCATAAAAAAATAAGAAACTTCTAAAGGAAACATTTTTTAATTGGACTTCTACTTATTGAGTAATACCTACTTGAAAATTTTGCTGCGCGAAAAAAAAAGTTGGCCATATTATGGTTAGCTATAAAAAACCGATTTCAGCCAAAATGTTTTCCCCAAAAAAATATAAAACTTTCGTTTTTTTTTATAAAAGCTGTAACTGTAACACTTTAATTTGAACACCCGGTATATTTGACATTTTTTTGGAACGTAAAATAAAAATTCTACCAGTTTTTCATTAGTTTTTCAGAATATATTAATTATTGTTCTTAACCTATAACACGATCAGGGGGTCGATTCTCGACTTTTTTCCTATAGGAATTTGGTTGATTTTCCTATAGGAAAGTAGGTTACTTATTCTGGAGTCAAGTTGTAGGAATATTTTCCTAAGCAGTTATAGGAAATGATTTCCCATGCTCATGAGACAGGGAATTTAATTTTCCTACAAGATTTTGTAATCGCGCTTGCGCAATAGTAGCTTGTTTAATGTGGTTTATTGATTTATGTTTACTTTTTAGGCGATTCCAAACTCATTTAAAAAAGAAACATACCTACTACATAATATATTATTAAAAGTTAATTTTAATTTGACGAGTAAAATTATTCTATTTGAAATGTCTTTAAGTCAATAAGGACCGATTCCACCGTTGTGTTAAACGAAGTTTAAAATGACATTTTTACATTAACAATGTCATTTTAATCTCCGTTTAACACAACGGTGGAATCAGCCCTAAATAAAGTAAAGCAAAATCCATAAATTTTTTATGAAAATTTACCAAAGAAACTAGTTACTTTTGAGTATTTTTTTGCGAAATTCGCACATCAGGATTCCTCGACGGAGCCCAAACCAAGTTATAATGATGTATGATGTGAATTTTACTATAATTTGCTAAATATTGAAAGTATTCCTATATTTTTGTATTTCAAATCAGAAATTAGAGGATACAAGCATTAACCTTTTGGTGTAGGAAAAACATTTGTACTAGTTATACTTTCTTTAGTTTCTACTTATAAATATAAATAACGGCATGGCCGCCGAGAGCCAAGCCGGGCCCCAGGACAATTCTCTAGATTGGGCCCCGTGATAAAAAAACAGCTCTTCAAACAAACTTTTCCTCCTCTACTTGGATTCAATTTCCTCTCGTCTTGTGACGAATTTCTTTTCTCATACAGAACAAAAATTCCAGTTGCCGGGCCCCCATTTGAGTCCGGGCCCGGGAATTAGTCCCGGCTACCCCCCCCCCCGCCGCCCCTCTAGTCGCCCCTGAATAACGGTAATCACAATGGTAGTCCTTCTGAAACTTTTTCGTTTTCTCTTTTTGCTGCTAATAAAAAATATTAAAAATAAATAACCTACATCCAGAAAATCAAATATTTTTGACAAATTGTCAAATTGCCTTGTTGCCAACTGTTAAACAACTATATTTAACTGAAATAAATACATTCCATTGGCTCGTTTTTGCGTTATCTTGAAATTATCAACGACATACTGAAATTGGAACTCCTACAGGAAATTGGATTCCTATTGTACTCGAGAATACCGACAACTAAAACTGTAGGAATATTATCATAGGAATTTATTTTCCTCGGAATCGAATTCCTACAACTCGAGAATCGACCCCCAGGGGGTCGATTCTAGATTCGTAGGAATTCTGTTTCTCGCGAGCCATTTTTGCTGGTCGTATTGTATGTAGGGTTTATTTAAATGAGTATGGATATATTAAAAAAAAACAGAACTATTCCAAAAGAATACAAAAACAACTCGAGAACAGTACAAGTTGTATTTATTGGATTTGAAAGACACCAAATTTGTGTAGGTTACGGAGAAGTATTATAGGTACTTCCATAATATAGGTTTTGTTACTGTTTCGCAGTGCTACTTTAGGAACAGCACTGTTAATAAGAATCCAATAGTAAATGGTTGAATGGGCAATCCTAACTTTGAATCAGATTTATTTTTAAAATAATTAAATAAATTGAAAAAAAATTCCTTACAAATTGTACTTGCTGTATTAGGTATAGATGGCAATTTAGTTGTAAAATTTGTAAAAAAGTGCTTTTATTATTTAGAACACATCCTGATTCACAATGAAAAATGAGAGGGAATGCAAAAATCACTATAACGACACTTCATATTATTAACGACAGCTCTTTGGCTATCGTTGATGAACGACAATTTTAAAACCATATTTGTCTATTTTCAACGACAATCGTTGTCTACTGAATAAGAAAAGTCGTCTGTGAACGATTATCGTCTACTAACGACGTCGTTCAGAGTTACTAGGGAGTTTTAGCAAACAGCCGCTAACCATCCGCTAACGTTACCTTAGGGATAGACTGTAATCTACTCCGTTCAATGTTTATGAAAAAGGTCACAATCTAAGTTTAACGTAACGTTAGCGGAAATCTTACGTACATTTGCTAAAACTCTCTACTGAATAGGCCCCTTAGTGAATAGCTATCCTGGGATACAAATATGTTGGGCGTGTCGGACCTCTCTCTTGCCTCGTATAGTAATCAAAGTATGTGCTACCCATCTCTAAGGCCCGTATTTATAAACAAAACTCAGCTGAGTCGGACTTGGGTAAGTCGTCCTTGAAATAAAATCGAAGTTCGGTTATATCGCGTGAATTTAGAGATGGGTAGTAACAAATCCGTAAATGAACATAACAGTTACAGATTTGCTAATAGCCATCTCTAAATTCTAGTGTAACACCGGAACGACCTCGAACTATAGAGACGTTGTAACCGAACTTCGATTTTAGTTCAAGGACGACTTACCCAAGTCCGACTAACGTAAGTTCTGTTTATAAATACGGGCCTAAGGGCCCTATTCTGTAATTTATCGTTTATGGACGACATCGTTAAGCTAACGACAGTTCAACCAACGACTTTTATAACGATAATTTTTGAAACTCTATTCAATAACAAAGTCGTTACGTTGTTTCTAGTTACCAAATCTGAACGATGATTTCTAGTAAGTTGGTATTATAATTTAGTGTTTTGTGATAAAAGAACGTATGTTGATGATTATACCGGGTGTTTAAATTAAAGTTTCACAGTTAAATATCGCCAAAAATATGCATTTTTGGCTAAATTAATTTTTTTATAGCTAACCATAATATGGTCATATCGAGGTGGATTTTTTTTTCAAATTGGAACCCTATTTTTTTACATAGGTATTCTTAGAGTTCATAAAAAAATAGGAAACTTCTAAAGGAAACATTTTTTGTATTGGATTTCTACTTATTGAGTAATACCTACTTGAAAATTTTGCTGCGCGAAAAAAAGTTGGCCATATTATATGGTTTGCTATAAAAAAACAATTTTAGCCAAAATGTTTTCCCCAAAAAACTATAAAACTTTGTTTTTTTTTTATAAAAGGCGGTATTTAACTGTAACCCTTTAATTTGAACACCCGGTATATTTGACATTTTTTTTGAACGTAAAATAAAAATTCTATCAGTGATATATTCATTTTTTTCAGAATATATTAATTATTGTTCTTAACCTACAACACGATGAGGGGGTCGATTCTCGATTCGTAGGAATTCTGTTTCTCGCGGGCCATTTTTGCTGGTCGTAGGTATTGTATGTAGGGTTTATTTAAATGAGTATGGATATATTAAAAAAAACGGGAATTATTCCAAAAGAATACAAAAAAACAACTCGAGAAGAGTACAAGTTGTATTTATTGGATTTAAAAGACAAGCCAAATTTGATATCCTTTTTCCTGATTATCTTTTCTGTTTGTCATCGGCTTCGACAACTCAGGCCATTAGCCTCGTTTTCTGTGTAGGTTACGGAGAAGTATTATTTAGGTATAATAGGTACTTCCATAAAATAGGTTTTGTTACTGTTTCGCAGTGCTACTTTAGGAACATCACTGTTTTAATAAGAATCCAATAGTGGTTGAATCAGATTTATTTTTAAAATAATTAAATAAATTAGAAAAAAATTCCTTACAAATTGTACTTGCTGTATTAGGTAGATGGCAATTTAGTTGTAAAATTTGTAAAAAAGTGCTTTTATTATTTAGAACACATCCTGATTCACAATAAAAAATGAGAGGGAATGCAAAAATCTCTATAACGACACTTCATATTATTAACGACAGCTCTTTAGCTATCGTTGATGAACGACAATTTTACAACCATATTTGTTTATTTTCAACGACAATCGTTGTCTACTGAATAGGAAAAGTCGTCTGTGAACGATTATCGTCTATTAACGACGTCGTTCAGAGTTACTGAATAGGCCCCTAAGGGGCCTATTCAGTAACTCTGAACGACGTCGTTAATAGACGATAATCGTTCACAGACGACTTTTCTTATTCAGTAGATAACGATTGTCGTTGAAAATAGACAAATATGGTTGTAAAATTGTCGTTCATCAACGATAGCCACAGAGCTGTCGTTAATAATATGAAATGTCGTTATAGTGATTTTTGCATTCCCTCTCATTTTTCATTGTGAATCAGGATGTGTTCTAAATAATAAAAGCACTTTTTTACAAACTTTACAACTAAATTGCCATCTACCTAATGCAGCAAGTAAAATTTGTAAGGAATTTTTTTCAAATTTATTTAATTATTTTAAAAATAAATCTGATTCAAAGTTAGGATTGCCCATTCGACCATTTAACTATTGGATTCTTATTAACAGTGCTGTTCCCCCCACTCGACCATTCACTGTTGGGTACTAATTAACAGTGCTGTTCCTAAAGTGGCGCTGGGAAACAGTAACAAAGCCTACACAGAACACGAGGCTAAAATAACCATAGCAGTTGTTGCTGATGACACAAAAATGCCAGTGCTGTTCCTAAAGTAGCACTGTGAAACAGTAGCAAAACCTATATTATGGAAGTACCTATATATTATACCTAATAATACTTCTCCGTAACCTACACAGAAAACGAGGCTAATGGCCTGAGTTGTCGAAGCCGATGACATCAACAGAAAAGATAATCAGGAAAAAGGATTGATAGTATCAAATTTGGTTTGTCTTTCAAATCCAATCAATACAACTTGTACTGTTCTCGAGTTGTTTTTTGGTATTCTTTTGGAATAGTTCTGTTTTTTTTAATATATCCCTACTCATTTAAATAAACCCTACATACAATACGACCAGCAGAAATGGGCGCGAGAAACAGAATTCCTACGAATCGAGAATCGACCCCCTAATCGTGTTGTAGGTTAAGAACAATAATTAATATATTCTGAAAAACAAATGAATATATCTACTGGTAGAATTCATATTTTATGTTCCAAAAAAATGTCATATATACCGGGTGTTCAAATTAAAATGTTACAGTTAAATATACCGCCTTTTATAAAAAACGAAAGTTTTATAGTTTTTTGGGGAAAACATTTTGGCTAAAATCATTTTTTTATAGCTATAACCATAATATGGCTAGCTTTTTTTTCGCGCAGCAAAATTTTCAAGTAAGTGTTACTCAATAAGTAGAAGTCTAATAAAAAAATGTTTCGTTTAGAAGTTTCTTATTTTTTTATGAACTCTAAGAATACCTATGTAAAAAATAGGGTTCCAATTTGAAAAAAAAAATTCACCTCGATATAGCCATATTATGATCAGCTATAAAAAAATTAATTTAGCCAAAATGTTTCCCCTAAAAAACTATAAAACTTTTGTCTGATACTTTTTTGTATAAAATGCATATTTTCGGCGATATTTAACTAACACTTTAATTTAAACACCCGGTATAATCATCAACATACGTTCTTTTATCACAAAACACTAAATTATAATACCAACTTGCTAGAAATCATCGTTCAGATTTGGTAACTAGAAACAACGTAACGACTTTGTTATTGAATAGAGTTTCAAAAATTATCGTTATAAAAGTCGTTGGTTGAACTGTCGTTAGCTTAACGATGTCGTTCATAAACGATAAATTACTGAATAGGCCCCTAAATCACGCGATATAACCGAACTTCGATTTTCGTTCAAGGACGACTTACCCAAGTCCGACTTGGCTGAGTTCTGTTTATAAATACGGACCAGAAGAGTGACAAGTATTTTTCCAAAATATACAAGAAAAAGAAGAGGAGATTTTGAATTTTTAAAGGTTATGTTGAGAGAGTGGCGTTTTTAATACTTAAAAATGGTTTTACTAAAAACAAACGACTTTGATTTATATATTGCATTCTCTGATAACATTATTCGGTACAATACAGAAGATTTAAGTGACATTCACGTAAAAATCCAAAAACCAGCAATTCCGGATAATTTAAAGCAGAGCCAAATAGAAGTAATAAATAAAGAACATAGGACAATTACATCTTTAGAATTTTCTCCATCAGGAAAATATATCGTTGTATCAACAGAAAATAAACAAATCATAGTGTATGATAAAAATTTCAATACTATAAAAAATATGATAGCAAATCGTTCTCCCAGCAAAGCTTGTTTTACTCCATCAGATGACATTATAATAGCGGATAAAACAGGTGATGTTTATCTGTATAAACTGCAGGATGAAGAGAATAAACCTGTATTACTATTAGGACACTTGAGTGTAATTTTAGACATAGCTATAAGTGATTGTGGCAAATACATTATAACCAGTGATAGAGATGAAAAAATTAGAGTGTCACACTTTCCAAACTGTTATAACATCGCCAGTTATTGTCTAGGTCACACTGAATTTGTTAATAAAATTCAAGTGGTCAATAATGTACTAGTTTCAGCTTCAGGAGATGGAACCATCAGGTTTTGGGACTTTTTGAGAGGCACCCAATTAGGAATTATCGATACTAATATTGCTATTGAACAAAAAGATCTTTTGCATACATTTTTCGAACAAATGAATAAAGAAAAAGTTGAAGTACATGCTCTTCCAATCACTGATATGCAAATTCGAGTTGGAAATATCACATACATAGCCATTTCTATGTATAATTATGATTATATTCATTTATATTGTACAGATTTTTCAGATTTTAATTCAAAATTAATTACTAAATTAAAGGTTGATTCTGCCTTCAGTTTTTGCTTGAGCAGTAATTTGTATGTTTTTCAAAATCAATTTAGTAGTTTTAAACTAGTGAATGGTATGGTTGAAAATATTGAATGTAATTTGGACAAACTTCATCAAAAATACAGTTCTTTGTTAACATCTGTAGATAATAGTGGCTTTACTGTACTTTATAAGCGAAAATTTGACAATGTCCAAGAGTATTTAGAAAGAAAAAAACAAAGATCGTAAATAAAACAACTTTTTAAATTTTAAAATGTATTTTATTGAGAATAATGAATATCTTGAACTCCAGTTTTTTTATTGAATTAGAAAAACAAATTTATACAAATACAATTTTATTCATGAAAAGTAGTTTTAAAATAAAAATGTGGAGCTAATTCTAATAACCAGTCACTGTCAATTACTGTTAAGTCTCTCATAAATAACTTAGTTGTGTGGACTACTTGACAGAATATTACCCTAAAAAAGTACTGTTAAAACATATGAAATCTAAATGATTTAATACATACCACTGTGGTTGAGGAATAGTATATAAAACACTATCAGGATGTACAGAAAGTTCAATATCTCCCCTTATTGTTTTGTAACTACCACTATGGTGAAGGTAGGCAGCATTTGGGAACAGTCCTTTTACCAAACATTTTCTAATCATTTCAGTCGATCCTAAAACATACGTATTGTAGGTATATTGATCTATTTATCTAAAATGAATTATTAAATCAGTGACTTACTTATACAGGACTCTATCGGAACTCCATAATTCCTCAACATCTTCTCCAGCCTTCTTCTGATCTCCACCACTCTTTTTAAACCCTTGTAACTAAGAAAATTCTTATGGCAAAATCCTTGTGACATGTCACTTTGAATAAAGCCATTAAATACATTTAAGTACGTTATGAGATCGCCTTCCTCTACTTCAAACAGTCTTTTCTGGATTCTTGCTTTGATTATTGAATTACCGGTACTTGGTTTTGTGAATACTGTTTCGACTTGAAGCATAGCAATGATGGTGAGAATTTCTTCCGAACAGCCAAATTCGCCTAAAAAAGAAACTGTTTTCTAGAAGCTTGTAGATAATTATCTATACAGGATGAAATGTACATATGTACTTGTTTGATTAGAAATCACCCATTTTTTATGAGATCAACAATGATTGAAGAAAGACTATAAATGCGCTTCAAATGCTCAGTGTATATTGAAAACTTGTAAATTGTTTGGGTGATTTTTATACAGAAGTTGTTTTAAGCTGCTCTGCAGAAGACTTGGTTTTATCAGTCAAATGTTTTTATTTTTATTGTTTAGCACACTACATATGTTTCGGAAAGTAAAAATTTTTCCATCTTCAGGTGCAGTCAATTATAAAATTATAGGGACGAATACAAACAGTTTAAAATTGTTTAAAATAAAAGAACGCCATCTTTTTAGTTCACATCGTTTGACGGTGTATTCGAATCGAAATAATAATTTGGTTTAACAAGATAAAGTAGGAAAATAAAAATATGGGTTTTTACAAAGTTAAAAAGTTACCAGTGGCGTTACAGTTAAGGATTAAAAAGCTTACAATTATTTAATAATATTAAAATAAACGTTTGAAAAATCTTTTATGTCCGTTTTATTGTTTACAGAGTTATTTTTTTTTAATATGTATCATCTCTCATCTCAAGGATTGTTCTTTTGTCGAGGTTAGGTTCATTTTCGAGAATTCTTACATTTTCAAAATCGAAAGAGTGCAAATTTTCTAATGCATGTTTGGTTAGGGCAGTGGAATTTTCATTATTAGTTGTGATATTATTTTTATGGTTTTTTATTCCAGTTCGATCCTTGCTCAGGTCAAGCGTTTAGTAATAAAAAAAAATGGTGTATAGCGGGTTGCGAAAATAAATAAATTTTATATAATATAAAATAGTGTGTGGTGAGTTGTGGTTATGTAAAAAAAGTGGAGATGTGGTCCCAATGGAATATAATCCGGGAACGGACAATTTTGGAATGTCCAGTATTCAACGTCCATATATAATCCAGAATTGGACGTCCTCTGAATGGTCAAATAAGTGTGCCATTTGTATACTTCACTGGACGTCCTTTGGATGTCAGAAGTCCAGAGTCCAGAAAAAACTCATTTTTGGACGTTCAGACATCCAAAATTGTATATTGAATGAACGTCCAAAGGACCTATTTGTACTGTCTATGTAGACGTCTATAACAAAAAAAAAATCGTTTTGCTAACATTTTTTTGTCGTTTGTTATAGACGTCTAGAAGCATATTATTTTATTGCCAGCAAAAAAATGACAGCTGCCACCATCTGGACATATTACATGTTGTTCGTCCTCCTCTCCTGTACGCTACTACAAATAGCAAGCAAAAAACACGACGTGTCATTTTTTTGCAATTAAATGAGGGACTACTTGTACAATTAGAAAAACCGTAACTGCCGCAGCCATGACTACACACACTTTGCAACTTGCGTTCAAACACGACGCTTGCAGTACCGTTGATACGATATTTTATGGAAGCTCCGTACTGTGAAAGATTTGACGAATACGTACTGTGAAGTAAAGTCTTGGAAATACCCCAAGTCCATTCGCTATCTTTATTATTTAAATGTAAAATGGATGAAACAAAAAGTTACTAGATTTTGGCACGTCGTATAGATTAATTACATCATGTTACGTCAGGTGGCACCTTAATAAAATTTACACTGCTAAGCCACAACAAAGCACAACTGAAATAAAAAGTCATGTGCAAACTGTAACTAAAAATGCGATACTCTTTTGTCAGATGACTTGGGGTATTTCTATCACTTTACCCACTTTGACTACACATGCTACAATTTATCGTTTCACTGTTAAAATCTCAGCACCAAAAAGTAAACCATCTAAATTCAATTTCGCACTCGTTTGTTTTCTTCTAATTGGTCCGTAATTCAAACGGCGAGTTTTCAGTGGCCGAAATCATCCTAAGTCATCCTCCCTTAAAACTAATTCCCTTCTTGTTACACCATGCCAATCGAGGGGAGGTATTTAGGATGACAGCATCGTTGTATATGAGCATTTATGCATACTAGAACTAGCACATACAACGTCTGTCTAGAAATCTCGACAGTCACTGTCGTGGATGGTCTAGCATACAAGGATATCTGGGTTCGATTCCCGCAACGACAGGCTTTTTTTCAAATCTCCAAGTATTTGTTTTCACCTTTGGGGATCAAGAATGGTTTATATAATTCGTAAGGGAATTTTTGAGATTTGTTTCCGAGTTTTCCAAGATAATAAGTAACAGATAATTATCAAAGTTAGTTTTTTTAATTGGGAAACACTGTATTTTATTATATATTTTAATTATATATTATAACAATACAAACCTAGTATGAGATTACACAGGATATTTCACACGTTATAACCAGTTTTATATCAAAATCCTTATCGCAGATTGACCAAAAGACAGGCATCTAACGGTTTTCCGCTTCAATAAATAAACTAGGACCGACATACGGACCTTGGAAAATTGTGAACTGTATTAAATAATGTTGGAAATACATGTGCGTTCCGTAGGACTGGAAGGACCAAAGCTTGGATGAAAACATCACCTCTAATACACTTTATTTTAAAACACTACTGAAACGATGTTAATTTTAATGTTGCACTTACAAACTACATGCTTTTTAAATTATGTATAGACCTTTCTTAGAAAATTAGTTACTTAAGCACTCAAGCCATTTTTAAAAATTAATTCATGATGGCCGCCGAAACCGTTGCCTTCTTAGCGGTGTTTTGCGTTTGAGAGGTACCTACTGAAGCTCTGACGGGAGAGAAGTTGCTAAGCTAGACTGAGAGTGACGCTCGACATTGACCCATTAGGAAGTGTCTAACGCCGGCGTTTTTAACCAAAGAGGGTGGTTGCCGCGTATGGATGACCAATGAGAAGTGGACAAGAAGTGAATGACGCCTGAGACGTAGCTATTAAACGGGAGACCGTTCTTATCGGCCAAGGCAGAGACGTCTCCAGGAAAAATAAAAAGAATTGAGAATGAAAGCTTTGAGTAATGTTGAATATAATTCAACAATCGTATTGATTTCAATGACATGTCTACTGCAAAAGAAACAACATTTTTAAAATGGTTTGTCATATTACTGATTTCCACATAAAATTAACTTTCCAATGATGTGTCAATACTTGGTATTTCCGGAAGGGAGGAGAATGACGCATGAGGGTCAAAGATATGATAAAAAGTCAAAATTGTTTGTCTATAATGTTGACGAAGTTATCCTGATGATAATGGCTCTGTTTAGGTTTCGTCTACCCACCCTGTATATAGTGTGGAAATGAAATCAAATCCGTTATTTGAAACCAATAAAGTAAGAGCACCAATAATCTCGCCAATAATCGACACTTTAAAATTGAAAACTCTTCTAATAAGGGCATGTATTCAGATTTGTAAATAATTTTGTGCCAGGACGAAAGTCTAATGTCTCTGGCAAATAAAAATCCTCGAAGGTCACAGTTTTAGTATTAGCGGTAAAAATGGCGCACATTATATTTCGTTTTTTCTAAAGAAATTTGTTAAGGTAAGTATATTATAAAATAAATTGTTGCTTTTTAAATAATTAAAATATGTAAATAAAGCTCTACATTCCCTTAATTATTAACCGTTAATGTTTTTAATAGCAAGAGTGGTGCAATGACACTTCATTTGAAAGGGCTTGAAAGACTGATATTTTTGCTAGGAAGTAAATGGAGAAGCATCTTCTGCATTAAATTAATTTTGTTAATAAAATTTTACTTCATTATGGTTATGGTTGTCAATTTTAAAAATTTAATAGATTAGTTCTATCTGACTTAGATGGTTTAAAGCCTCCTTTCTATCCTCTCAGTTTCAACACCATCAGGTTAATATTCGTGACGAATACAAGAATCTGTCGGGCGATATTGTACCCTAAAGTGCTATTTCCGTTCCAATTTAGAGTTCCTGAAATGGCATATATGAATAGGAGTTTCGTCATCCTCTACATAGGGAGTTGTCAGTTATCCCTTAAAGATTAAGGTGTCTTCTAAGGCGGTGTCCCTCACGAAGTCCTATTACTGTCTTAAGTTAATTGCTGCTAATGTTTATTTAGCAGCTGATTTTATTTACTCTTGGAGGATGGACCCTGTATGAATATTCTGAAAGTTCTAACCAGATCATATGTCTATTTACCTGTTCCATTTAGCACCTATTTAACATATGTTGATATGAAATACCACACGTGGGTTCTGGTCCAATTTGAGTTTGCTCTCCCTTCCTGGCTATGAGGTCTGCTTTTTTGTTTCCCTACACTCCATCATGCCCCAGCAACCATTCAAGAGTGATCATATTATGTTCTGCTTGGGGCTGGAGGTACGACTTTTGTTAGTCTATTATTAATTTAGATTATTTCAGCTCCCTTCCTAGTTAGGAGCTCTGATTTGTCGTTTCCCAACACTCCTTCATCCTACATAAAATTCCTTATTTGCCCCCCCTTAGACCAAAAGCTGGGTACATCAATGGGTATATGTTTGTACTTTATTCTTATGGCTGACAATACAAGGATATACTAATTATAATCAACTTTCAAATCGTTTTGTTTATAATAAAACTAAAAGCATTAATATATTTTACCTGAACTAAATAACACTTTTGAATAAAGTGGATCCAAAGCGAATTCCGCTATATTAAATCCCAATGGTCGCGTTAATTCGCCTTCTATGTCGATTGCATCCAAAGCGTACAATATTTCTAATGCGCTTTTGAGATTCTGAATGGGAGGTGGACTTGGAAAATCGAATTTGAGTATATTAGCAATACCTAGAGCCTTAATTTGCAATACGGCATAAGTAAGATTGCTTCTCACCATCTCGGGTGGCGTGTTGTCTGCCAATTTAGCGGCAAATTCCTCAGTATATAATCTAAAAACAGTGTTTATTGCAATTGTTAATTAAACAGACCAGGGTTATAGATAATTTCAAATTATTTGATTAACCTTAGCGTTAAATTTTTACCTATATACTTTTCCAGATCTCAACCTTCCTGCTCGCCCTGCTCGTTGATCAGCCGAAGACTTGCTAATGGGCAAGGTCACTAAGCTATCTGTATGAGTTTCGTTATTATACCATTTTAATTTAACAAAACCACAGTCGATAACTAAAAATTAACAACGAAAATTGCGTTAAAAATAATTAAAATCATATATGAGAAAGATTACACCAAACAAACTTATAACAAAATACCACTAAAAATAAATAAAAATAAGAAAATTTGAAAGCCATGTGTCACAAAATAATAGGAACAACCGTTTCCTTTAGGACAACAACTACTTCTTTGGTAAATAACGCAACAGGCATTTAATTATATCCAAACAGAAACGGCAGAAATGCAAAAATTATTTTCAATACTTCAATTTTGATCCTGCTTTCTGCTGGTTTCGTTCTTATTAGGACTAGTCAGCAAGAATAGACATTCTCTATTCCAATCTCTAATAGAACCTGTTGAGGCCAAAAATTCACTTAATCTTCCGCAGATAACATATTAGGTATCTCGCACTAACCCATTCAAGTTTTGAAGATTTCATACAGATTATTAAAGATTAAATTTTACTTTATTCAGAAACTGACAGTATCTTTAGTGTTATTTAGACAACGATTTAGAGGTATAAGTCGTAATTTTTTTGGCGTAATTATTAAAATTAAATTTCCAGCACAATGGCTTGTAACATCTTTATAAGGAAGTTTTAACAGATCTATCCATTTGAATTGTAGTATGGTACAAAGCTCTAGGCTTATTGCACCTCTTTCAGTTTTTACTTTTTACCCCATCATGTTAATATTCTTGACGAGTTCAAGAATATATCTAATGGGCTCTTTCGTCGGGTTCCGGATATTGTACCCTGAAGTATCATTCCCGTTTCCATTTGAGATTCCGACTGTAAGATACTTAATGATACTTACTTTTGGAGCCCTACTATCAGAGAAAATTCGGGCAACAGTTTTGTTAACGTAGTTTGCTTGCTAGTTTCCATCACAACCCTCCGAAAAATTTAAGGGATCACGTTGTTAACACTTTAATTATAAAAACGCGCGAAGCGAGTTTTTCTTAGAAGTCGAACGGTGATATTGTGCCAAATTTATTCCTCCATTGACAAAATAAATAAAACAAAAAGACTGGCTTCGGTTTGGCGCTTCTTTTCCAAAATGTGGTCTGGTGATCAGCTGAGGACTAATAACTGAATGCATTGCTCTTTCTAAATTCTCACCTCTCGAGATCTGCTTACCGTCCCCACCAGAGCGAACAGGTATATCTAAGAAGGGTCAGCGACACATTTACTTATTTAAATTAAAATACATGGTAGTGCCACTGATAATTTGGATCGAATATTTGGCATACGAATAATTTAATTAATTTTAAAAGATAAAGAAATAAAAAAACATGTACGGCAATGGCATAATATGTGAATACAAGTTTCGTCCTCCTCTTCTCATATTCTACACAGGAGTCGTCAGATAGCCGCAAGAGATTTAGGTATCTTCTAAGGGTGTAATGTCCCGTAAAGAGTCCTCTTATGGCCTTTAGTTCGTTCCTGGTAAGGTTTAGCAGTTGCTATTTTCTGAGGAGGGGGGAAGTCCGGGGGCCATGGTCCCAAGCCTTTTATTTAGGGTGACCATACTAACTTGGATAAAAAAAAAAATCAAAGTTCTTGATACAGTACGGCTGCTACTTTGTTATGTCTCTGCAGGTATTTATGGTTTGCTAAGCATTGGCAGGCAGAAATAATATGTTCTATTGTTTCAGAACTCAAGTTGCACTTTCGACATTTGTCCGTATCGATGTTTTCTTTCAATATATATTTACGATGGTTTTGTATTCACAACATTATCTTGGATGCTTAGCATAAAACTCTGTTTCAGGAAAAATAGTACCATTTTTTAACCAGTATATCGATGCGGCTTTGTCAATTGTATCTCTTTGGAGATCATTTTGAACCTTCCGTGGAGTTATTTATCTAGAAGTTCTGTTCTTTTTTTATCGTTACTTAACATATTCGGGAATTAATAATTCCCGAATATGTTAAGTAACGATCAAAAAAGAACAGAACTTCTAGCTAAAGAATTAATTAATTATCAATTATCAATTATTATTATTCTTATTATTAATAAGTCCTAAGTCCTATTAATAAGAGCCAAAATTAATCAGTAAGCAGGAAAGCAGGATTAAAGATGTATCGTTTAAAATAATTTTTAATCTCTGCTGTTTTTATTAGGATGTAATTCAATCCCTGATACTGCAGAAGTTGTTTTCCGGAGGGAAACTATCGCTCGTATTATTTTGCGTCTTGGTCATGTTTGAGTTTAGAATTATTTTCCATTTTTAAATACCATTATAATAATATCGTACAAGATTGATCCCCATTACGCATCCAGCATCCAAATATTTACCTACCATGAACTATCCCCGGTATAGTAACTGACGTTTCTGCTATATTAGTCGCAACGACGACTTTTCTGTAACCATCCGGTGCTGATCTGAAAACTTTTAACTGATCGTGATGCGGTAAGGATCCATACATGGGCAGTACCACAATTTTTTCTTTTTTTCGAGATTCTTCTATCAAATTGGCGTGCTCGTTTAACAGCCTCACGGTTCTTTCGACTTCTTCCTGGCCCGTGAGAAACACTAAGATGTCCCCTGGTTGCTTAGATTCGTTGATTTTAAGAACTGTATCGACGGAGGCTTGCAGGTAGCATGGCACAGGTTCTAAAAGAAGAAGAAACCATTTTAGTTGTATATATCATAATTATCATATAAGCAAATAATAACGGAAGTGTTAAATTAGCTAACTAATGTGTAGAATAATATCAAATGTTAATATTGTGGTGAGAGCCTTTTCCGACCAGCCCGGTCATTCTGTAATCTCTTAAGTCCTTCTCTGCCTTATTTATGCCTTTTTACGGCCTTCAATTTTTCCGTTACAAAGAATATAATTTAATGTAAGAAGTCACCTCTGAAACGCCTTTTTGATACGCCTATGCCGGACGAAGATAGCAGCCATTCCATCTGCGAATAGTATGAAGCGAACGCTGTATATACTCGTATGTTGCCAAATCTGATCTAGCCCATTTGAGATTGCCTGGAGCACTGATCTGTAAATACAGATCAGTGGCCTGGAGTCACTGATCTGTATCAGTGCCTGGAGTTCTTCTAGAATAGTTTGGTGCGCCGCATTTTTACATAAATAGCCGAATTTGGCCATTTGATTTAGCTCAAGCTGAGATTTAGTCAGTTTAAGTAAGATATTCGATTTGTAAAAAAAATATTGTTAAGTAATATAAATTAATATAAGTGTTTAAGATATAAATAGTGTAGTTTTGAGTACAAATCTAGTTACAAAATAAATTAGCGTATTTATAGTGTAAGTAGGCTTCAATTTATTTAAATTATGAATGGTTAATTTGTAGTAAAATTTTATGAGAAAATACTTTTTATAGATTTATCGTTTAAATAAATTCTTAATTCTTGTTTAGAGCATTTATGGATCAATTTTAAAATTAATAATGATACTTTCTGTGTTGGAGTGTTGTACAGACCACCGCGGGAAAATTTAAATCAAGCTATACATTGTTTGGATAATATTTTACCAATCATACTTACAAGTTGTGATAAAATTTTAATTCTTGGGGATGTTAATGTGGACCTTTTTAACAGTACAAATTCATTAATTTCGTGTTTTAATGCCCATAGCCTCACTCAAGTCATAGACGAGCCTACATACATTACTGATCACTCCTCTACATTAATAGATCCAACCAGTGGCGGCTCGTGGGCACTAGCGACAGTAGGGCACACACTGGAAAGGAATCCCGGGATTCGTTTTTCCCTTAGGAAAACAAGTTCTCCGCTTAATGAAAATTAAATATATTTCAAAACAAATTAAATATTACAAAAGTGAAGACTAACTGCTAGGTACCGCTACAGTTGTCTACTATTTCTTATAGTTGAAGTCCATTCTTCTGGATTTTTGGCTAGCGAAGTGATCGATGACCAGAATATTAACATTTGGAATGGACCGAATAAGTTTTTTTTTCGATGGATAACATGGCTAACGCGCACAATCTATCTTGGCACATAGTGTTCCTTAAAAATGTTTTAATACATTTTAGTGTCGAAAAACATCTTTCACTCTCCACTGTGGTCATGGGAATTGTACACAGGATAGTTAGCAGCTCCACAGATTCCGAAAATGTAATTGTCAAATTGTTCTCAAAAAACATTTGTAATAACGGTACGGCCCCATTGTGTTGCACAAAGTCATCTCGGGTGTAAAATATGGACTGTTCGTTTTTGAATTTTAAGCTGTTTACGTTTGGAAATAAACTACACACAGTTTTAACGTCCTATTTATAAATATTATTGATTTTTTTTTCACCATATTTTTGATTGCTTTATAAAAAAAAAGTTTTTTTTTAAGGTGAAGGGTGAGAAAAAGTCCTTTATATCTCACAAGGAAAGTCAATGTTTAATTGTTTAACAAAACATTGAGTGCGACCGGTTTCGAAGTGTCATTACTTCATCTTCAGGCTCGCCTAGTGGAAAGGAGAATATGTGGTGTAAGGTGTGTTAACTTGGAAACAAAACGATATATAAATTAATAAAAAAGAGAAAACTCACCATACTCTCCATCCACTAGGGAATACTACAAAAACAAGTTTCATCAATTTTGGGTTGAAATAAATTGTAAAATGAACCGATTTACACGTAATAAAAAGTTAAAAATATTTGTTTTTTTAAAAAACAACAATGTTTAAAATAGGCCTTATCTTTTAATCTGTTTAATGTATGTGATTTGTTTTTGTATAGTCTTGAATATTTTAAATTTTTACTATAATTGACTAATATTTGTTTTTTCAAATATTTTTAACTTTTTATTACGTGTAAATCGGTTCATTTTACAATTTATTTCAACCCAAAATTGATGAAACTTGTTTTTGTAGTATTCCCTAGTGGATGGAGAGTATGGTGAGTTTTCTCTTTTTTATTTATATATCGTTTTGTTTCCAAGTTAACACACCTTACACCACATATTCTCCTTTCCACTAGGCGAGCCTGAAGATGAAGTAATGACACTTCGAAACCGGTCGCACTCAATGTTTTGTTAAACAATTAAACATTGACTTTCCTTGTGAGATATAAAGGACTTTTTCTCACCCTTCACCTTAAAATTACCTCAACTCACACATGGCTACCCCCTTGTCAAAAAAAAAAAAGTTATTTTTCTTTGTAGTTCTATTTCTTAACTATTCCAATGGTCCAACTAACGTTTTTTCGAAATCACAATAAGTAAATTATTATCATGGTCCAACAAACGCGCACCTTAAACCGAAACCGGCATCGCCTTTGTGAGGGAGAGCCGGTAAAGATGCCGCTGCGTATATTCGTATCTGGTCTAGGTAATCTGTACCATACGTCACGATAAGGACAGCGCCCCGCTTGTGACGTATAATCCATCGCATGTGTTCATCTCTTGCTAAGCGATATTGTCGTTGTCCTTGTTTTTCGAATCATAATGAGATAGAAAACAACAGAGGCACACATTTACTGTGCCCATCTTCCACTTAATTTCGGAATTCTCGGAACGTCGCTCAACGCCCGGTCGTCCAGTGTCGTGCCAACGAGAGGTTTGCGCTGAATATTAGATAAAATAATGGCATTGAGGAAAATATAAAATATGTCAGTTATTTTGTTTATTATACTAGAGCACGTGCCGAAGTGCCCTTACGGGCAAACCGCCACAATTGCACAAACCATGGTACTATAAATGTTGATCATTTCACCGATCACCAAATGGTATATTGTGATTTAATAATTGATTATAGTTATCAGAAACAAAGATTTTTAACTTATGGAGATTATCAGAACTTTGATTCTTCAGTTTTTGAGTAATGCCTACGCAGTATTCATTAGGATAATCTTCTGTATCTTAATGATATTGAAAGTAAGATACGCTATTTAACAGATGCAATATCTACAGTTTTCGATGAACACGCTCCTTTTCGAACAGCTAGAATAAGTAAACCTAAAGCACCTTGGTTAACTCCTACATTAACACTCATATTTAAAGAACGAAATACTGCCTTAAAAAAATTCAAATTAAATAAATCCACTGAAAACCGGAACAACTACAAAAGACTTCGCAACTTTGCATTGGCATCCTTCAAACGAGAAAAATCTGCGTATCTAGAATTTTTAAACAATCAGTCGTCTTCTAAATTTTACACAGCGCTAAAACAAATGAAAATTCAATCGACAAAAATAATCGATTTCCTTCCCCACTTTCCAATCCCTTTAAAATTAATGAATATTTTTCCTCTGTGTTCCAAGACAGTAATGAAAGATGCTTGGATTCAATTTTATTCTATAGAAGTAACTCCTTTAGTAGAGATACTAAATTTCACAACACTACCTCAACTCTACACTATCATTTTGAATATAAAATCAAATGCTGATGGTAATGACAATATAAACATGCCAATGTTAAAATTGTGTCTAAATATTATTGATGTTTATCTGCTACATATTATAAACTTATGTTTAGAACAAGGATATTTTCCAGAATGTTGGAGACAAGCTTTGATAATACCTTTACCTAAAAAGCATAATCCTAGTTCATACTGCGTCCAATAAGTCTACTGCCTTTAATTTCAAAAATTCTTGAACGTGCAGCATATTTCCAAATTTACGAATATCTTTGTGAAAACAATATAATCCCTTTGCATCAATCGGGTTTTCAAAAGGGTTTCAGTACCTCAACAGCTTTGGCACATTTAAGTGACAATATTTTCAACAGTATTGATAAGAAACAAGCAGGTGTCCTAGTTCTACTAGATTTTAGCAAAGCGTTTGACACCATTAATTATAGTCTTCTTGTATCCAAGTGTCAATATTATGGATTTGATAGAATTTCATTAGGTTTCATAAAAACATAAACGATCACAGTTAGTTACAGTAAACTGTCAGAAATCAACATCCATTCAAATCAAATCTGGCGTACCACAAGGTTCAGTCCTAGGGCCCCTGTTTTTGTTACTCTATACCTCGGATTTCTACAAACACGTAAATAATTGTGCAGTCCAATGTTTTGCTGATGACACTCAGCTGTTCCTCGACTTCTCGCCGAATGAAGTCATTACTGCAGTTGATAAGATTAATCAAGATCTTAAAAAAAAATTGATAACTATTCGTCTGATCATAACCTTCACATTAATGCTTCGAAATCCAAACTATTATTATTCTGTAGTAAAAATATTAGACAATATATAAAGAACAATACAACTTTGATGATATCTAGTGAAATTCCACATGAAACTGAGTCTATAAATTTAGGGTTATACTTTGACGATCAAATGAGGTTCAGTCAGTATGTCAACTATGTGTTACAAAAGTGTTACAGTGGGCTTCGCTTGCTTTATTCTAATAAACACATCCTACATAACCAATCTATAAAACTAAAACTTTGCCAAAGCCTTGTAATCTCAAAAATATTATATGGAATTATTGTGTATTATTCTTGTTTAACAGCTGTTTAATGGATGAAAGTTTTTTTATTAAATAAAATATGTTTACAAATATACCGCAAATGGGTTGCCTAAGAAAATACGGTCACGGCCATTTTTTACTTTCCTCTCTGTATACAGATAAGGAAAGTATAGGAATCATGATAAAAGTTGCTTGTGATGTCACTCTCTATAATTTTGTTCCTATACATGATTTCCCTAAAATTGACCTAATTCGAGATATTTGAGGAAAAGTGCAAACTTTTCAACTTAAGCTTTGATCCATCCTGCCGATTAAAGCTTGGGCATAGTCGAAGCATCTGGGGAATACTTTACAGGTTGTCGTTTTTTTTTACTATAATAGTAATTACCGTATTTTCTTAGGCAACCTATTTGCGGTATATTTATAAACATATTTTATTTAATAAGAAGAAACTTTTATTCGTTAAACAGATGGGTGAAGGTCGACCTTACTTCGGATCTTAGACCATAAGTGGAGCCTTTATAAAAAAATGTATAGCCTAGTTTTCAGGCAAATCCATCTCCTTAAAAATTTGTCAGTATTCCTCAAAAGCACAACTTTTCTACGAAATATAATTAAAAGAACAAACGACTTACCTGTAAGGAAGTTCGATCTAAATTATATGACTATACTCGTCCAAATCGATAGGTCCCAAACACATAAGATAGACAAACCCATCCTATAAGTTCTATTTTTTTTGTTCTCTTTTTGTACTTATTTTCTTTTTTAGCAAAAATGAAATGAATACGTATGGTCGTGTTAGGTAACGTAGTGGCTGATAAGAGAGTGGTTTTTTGTCTAATTTTTGGTGACTCACTCTTTAAAATTGTGCGCAATAAAATGTATAATGGTATTACATGTGTAATATCTATTTGGACGAGTATACGAAATATAATAACATGTTATTTACTATTTGAGAGTACATATGTAAGTATTTGTAAATTTATTTTTCAAAAAACTTTATTTTTGTTCAATAAACCATTCTATAATTTACCTGCCACATAAAATACATCAACAGGAAACTGTCTTCCTTCTACAGACATTATTACAGCAGTGTCTTTTTTCTTATCGTCTGTAGGATTATTATTAAAAAATTCTTGTAATGCCTTAGCGTCGAGCGTTGCGGATGCTACAATTAATCTCAGTTCTTTCCGTCTCTAAAAATAAAAAAAAACAATTTGTATATTATAGAATTTGTTTGTTTTTAAATTTGTTTACCTACTTTTAATATTTTCTTCATGAGTCCCATAAGAATATCGGTGTACAGAGTTCGCTCATGAGCTTCATCTATCATAATGGCAGAATAATCTTTGAGAAGTGGATCTGACATCATTTCTCTTAATAATATTCCTTCAGTCATATACTAAAAATATAAAAATAACTAAAAGTATTTTTTCCACGCCCACATGGATATTAGCTTATCTACATAACGAATATATTTCATATCCATTCTAGGTAGTCAGAACACTGCAAAATGAAATCCACCAATCACAGTTCATGTTTTGGTCAACCGACTACTATTATTTTTAAAATTTTAAATGAGTGAATTCTGTCAAACTAATTGTCAGTATATTTTTTAGTTAATGAAATTAGATATATTAAATATACATTAAAATGAGCCATTTTTGTGTAGAATCGATAAATAATACCATTTCTATTTTTAATTCGTCCACATTTAGAAATAAATCTTATATTTTAATCAAACTATATGAAGCTAATTTAATTACGAGTATTAAAACTGAAATCCTAAATGTGGCGGTGGAGGTGAGGACAAGGCGTCTGTCTTCCACGCGAGAGGCATGGGTTCAAATCTGGGCTGGAGATTAATTAATTTAAATCTTTTTTTCTTGTTTATTTTATTTTATAAATTAATAGAAGTTATAAATTATTTTAAAATTAGTTATTTTTTCTTAATAACATAAAATAATGTTAAGTGTAGATTTTCGTTAGTGGGTCGTAGTAAAAATATAATGTAGAACTTGAGTGGATTGTCCATATCCACTCTTGTAGCGCAAACTATTTTTATATGTGTAATGTGTAAGGCTGTGGTATTTAAATGATTTTGGCGACTAATACTTCTTTTAATCTTGTATCATTCCGATTTTCGAAATACTTTCGTTCAGTTTATAATTTCCCAAATATTGTTAAGCTAAGTTTCCACATGCAACCATTGTTGTAATTTTGCTATTTGAGGGATACTATAATGGCTCCTAACGGTACATATCTGATAACATTGATAACCTTTTATTGGCGTATTGATTTTGGTGACTACATTTTACTGGCGATAGTTGATTTAAGGTGCCAAAAACGATCCTTGCACAAAAAACTTTAGATCTAACAGTTACAGTTCATCAAATTTCTAGAGGCTTTCGACGGCTAGACAGAGAAAGCACTACTGACAGGCATCCCGACGGATTTACGCAATGAAAGTACACTCTGCGCATCAAGTATTTCACTATTTCATTCAGACGTAAATGCCAGATGTAAATTTCGCTAAAACATTTCTTTTATTTTCGTTTGTGTTTTTTGCTCATTACAGTTTAATAGAACCTAAGTATAGAGTTTAATAGCAAATTAAGAGGCCGCGTGATTAGCAGTCAATCTCGCGAAATAATAGCCAATGTTATAGAGTTTATGAGAAGAGAAGGAAACTTTAATTCACCTTCAGTACCATTTAAAAATGTAAATGATCGTGTTGCTGCAGACACAGGAGTATCTAAAAACACTGTCGTCCGCATTTCTGGAGAGAAAAAAAGAATCGATAACCGTGAGATATCGGAATTTTCATCACCAATAAAAACCATTAAAAAACCAAAAACAGTTAATGATATAGATGAAGCTGCACAAGAATCAAATTTTATTTTTTTATTATTAGATAGCTATTTTTGTTTCTGAGTTGTGTTCATTTACAGGCTCAATTTTTTTCCGTTTCTCCTTTTTGATTTTATATGGGGTTTCAAGTTGTTTTTGACCTATTTCGACGTAAATCACAACAACACACTTTTTTAATAAAGCAAACAAGTGTTAAGAGGTATATGTACGTGTAAACTACAATTACAAAAAATTGATATTTTTTTTTTTTTTTTTTTTTTTTCGATTTATGGCCTAGGTGTATATACCTAATATGCCAGTCTCAAATTTGTGTTTAAATTCTCAATCATGTGTGTTCTGTGTAGGCTTTGTTACTGTTTCCCAGCGCCACTTTAGGAACAGCACTGTTAATTAGAACCCAACAGTGAATGGTCGAGTGGGGAATCCTACCAAGGCATCAGAATTAATTTTAAATAATTAAATTAAATGAAAAAATTCCGGCCAACGGTGGGATTCGAACCTGGGACCCTTGGATCCACAGGCACAGGCTCTAACCACTGAGCCACCCACCCCCCAAAAAATTGATATGAAACCCATGAAACCACCAACAAAAATGTAAAGCTAGCTTCCATACTAGAACATGGTGTCATTCGTCGAGATAATTTATCGTTTTGTTTAATAGATCAAGAAATGTAAATATTCCCCTGTTATTTTTTATAAAATTATAAGAGAAATAAATTTTTTTCTAAATAGTATAGTTTATTATTTTGTAGAAAAGCAAAATTTCGAAAATTTTAGTAATGTTTCAGAAACAACCGTTATTAATAATAGGTACCATTTTCCTTAATAAGGTAGAAATAAAATGTAAACTATTTCCACGATTTACAAAGGCCTACAAAAAAATTATAGGTATTTTCCGCTATCCTATAAAATTTATATTTTCTGACTCAATTTCAAAAGGTTGTAGGAATTCCAAAACACCTTTTATGGCATAATAATTATTTTCAATTCTACATACTATCTTTAGCTGCTTTTAAAAACGTTCTAAGAAAGTCCAATCAGACCAATTTAATCCCTAAACTATTCCACACTTTTAAAATTTAATTACCTAAAAATATTAAAAACTATTTAAAATAACTTGTTTAGCAGACTGTACAATAGCTATCTTAGTCACACGTAGCGCGTTCTCTGTCTGGGCGTCGAACACCTCTAGAAATTTGATGAACTGTATTCATATTAAATAAAAATGTAATTAGATAATTTTTGTATTCAGTGATAAGAGGAGACAGTTAAATACATTTATTTTGGCTCATTTTCAAATGAACATTCAATTAGCATTAATAGTCCAGTCAAAATACGGACTAATTTGAAACAGATACGACACATTTTTTTAGATGTAATTTGCTCATAGAACAAAATACGCGGGTTGCCGGGGTGATTCAAGCATCGGAACATATCTAAAAATGCACAAACACCCTTCTTAGGACCGATCCTCCGTTGTATTAAACGAAGTTTAAAATGACATTTTTACATTAACAATGTTATTTTAATCTCCGTTTAACACAACGGTGGAATCGACCCTTAGGGCATAAACGATGCCTGTACATTGTGAGATGGTTTATTTTTACCTTTTCATGTATTGAAATAATACAGGGATATACCCTAAAGATTTTGGTCATAGAAGAAACCACTATGGGTGAAGGTGAACGAGGTTAAACTACCTCCAAACTTGAAGGTACGGCAACAAATTATTTTTATTCCTTCTTGTTTTGTTGATTGTCACTGGGGAAAGTGGTCGGGGGGTGAATAATATATCATCCCCTACCAAAATGAAAACCTTCAGCAAAAAAATTTTCTTAGGGATAAATGAGTTGGGAATCAAACAAGGAAGATAGGGACAAGAAAAAAAGATTCTGGATTTTTATAAATTGCAAATGGAATATAATAATAAAAAAACTTAACTTACACGTACACTTATACATTTATAATACAATAATTTTCATAAACAATTAAAAATATAGAAGTGGAGAAGACGCAAGGTATTCAAAAAAGTCTACAATATATTCTCATTTTTTTCTCGGATTTGTACAGAAGCCGGATATTCCAGAGACTTTTTTTATATCCCCAAGAATTATTTTTTTGTTGAGTAGTAGTTTTCACCCTGGTGACAGGCTGATATAGATATATTATTCACCCTCTCACCACTTTTCCCAAAGCCAATCTACAAAAAAGAGGAGAAAACGATTTTTCCCTATATTTTCAACAAAAAAAAAAAATATATATATATATATAAATGTTCAGGCAGCGTTTATCCTGAAAACATACCTAATAGGGGTGTTTTTGTATTTTTAGGCGTATTCCTGGATCCCATGGATCTGTTTAAAATTCGCCCCTTTTTGTATTTTGACTGGACTATAACTATTACATAACTTCTATATAGATGGATTGTTCTAATATCGCAGTTTTGAATCGCCCACTTTTCAAAGTTCAATGATGATGACTCATATTACTTTACACGTGTTTTATATTGTGAACAATGCAATAAATTTTTATTAAATAAAAATAATCCCTATTATTATTGTTAGAATTCTTGTATGCCATTTTTACAAACATTCATCAAATATACATTCGAAATAATTAGGTAGGTACCTAATAGAAAATATTATCAAAAATATAAATAAACGTAAACCAAATTCTCAGTCTACACCTACAGAAGATATACCCGAGGATATACCTAATAGGAAGATATATTTTTGAAATGAATTTTACTCATCATAATGACTTTATTTCTTTGTATGTAGTCCTAAAGTTTTTAAAAACATATGATCTACCAATCCTCAACATACCAATCAGCATAATAAAATAAATTACTGCTTTATTTGTCGAAAACTCCTTGCCCTTAGATTAACTTATTCATATTATTTATAGAATAAAGAACTCATTATTTTTATCAAGTTTACATAATAGCTTATATATAGTAGGCGAGCGGTAGGTCAATATTAATATATTGAGGTCAAGGATTTTGGCATCCAAGTTAATTGGAAGGAAAATGTAGTTTACTCGATTAAACATAAATATGGTTATTTGTTGTGATTGATGATTATAAAAATGGAATAAATGTTCTATTAAAGAGATACCTAAACAGGCTAAAATCAATATTTTTGTGAAAATAAAAAAGAAGAGAGGTCTGAAGAAAGACCACAGTCTTGGGTCGTGGTGTCATGGATAACTCAAGAACTGTGGACTGTGACAATTTATAATTTATTCTGAGCCTTTATTTCTGCCCGATTTTTGTGAATTTTTCAGGAAATACAAATAATAACATAACTTAGGGTGGAGAAACCTCTTAATTTTTTTGTAAACCTTCGAAAAAGTATTTACGCGCCCTTCTGTATTAAATCTATGAAAATTTGCTGCTCTTTGTTTTAATAAATATCTAGTAGTTTTTAAATGGGATGATCTCCCACCTTTTTTTCTTAAACGTCTATAGAGTGCTGCCTTATCGTTGCACAAATTTAAAGCTCTCAATATTGTCAAGACACATAATATCAA